ACCAGAAGCAGAGACGAAATAAGGGCCATCCATCCCTGGCAACTCATCAGGCAAATGGGCCTTATTACACTTTTAAATATCAACCCTCGTTTGCGCTGAAATCACTAATTAGAATGCAGAAATAGTACAGCGCCAACAACTGACTTGTGTGTACGGCTCCGTATATTCCAAAAATATTCTGTATTTATTGTAATAAAGACAATAGCTCTAACTATATGGGGCTGTTCCATTCGGTGGTGTGGGAAAAACAGCAAGACGTCAATTACAAAACAAACTGAATCACATTTTATCGGTAATAAAATGTTAAATATGTAATTTTACAATTATCGTCCATTATAGCAAAGCTAGTCGATTTGAAGTGAAACAATTGACTGTCGGAACGCAGTTATCACAGTAATTATTTGGCAGAATAGTTTTCAAACAAATTAAATTACGTCTCTATTTCTGGTTATATACTCGATGGGTACATTATTTACATAAGATACTTATAGTTTAATAGCATTACGTGTAACACATACGGGTGGTAAATAACAGGGATTTTTAGTAGTAGGCCCAGCTGGGCCCTAAATAAAATGCTTTTTCTTATTGAAATAAAAATAAATATAAATAAACTTAATGTAGGTTGGTGTGCGTTAGTATTTAAATACACGTTCGCGGCGCAACATGATTGGATATAGTAATAGAGAAAAGCTTCCAGTCTAGATTGTACATATTACTCATGATTTAGGTTAGCTAAGTTTGTTTTGTTCGCAATGAATTAAGCAAATATTATCTAAATCGTTCTAGTCATGGTCAATAGATGGCGCTTACTATTAAAAACTGAATGTCAAGAACACGAGGAATATTTTAAAGCGCCCTCTATCGGCATTGTTTTCAACTACGTAATTAAGTGTAGTCACTGAACTGTCAAAAAATTGTTCTAAGGCGCTGTGTACATGCACTGAAAGTGATTCGGACCCAAACAATATTATTCCTGTGACGAAATATTCTCCAATATCGATAATAATATTACTCAGTTTTATTTAGAAACACAGTGAAAATGATGGATGATGATAAACAATAACCTGTCAACCATCATGGTCATAATTTTGCCAAAAAGACACCATAGGATTTTTCTTTGTTTTCGTTAGTTGATATTGTGCTTGTTGTTGTAGGGGAATTATGGCAATAAATCACAACAATTCATAATTCCTGAGGTAACAACAGCAAAAGTTGTCAGTTTACATACATTTTAGAATAATCTATAAAAAATACGATCATGTAGTTTGACACTTTATTGCTTATCAGCATCCAGTTATCCGTTAGTTGAGTTAAATATGTCCGAGTCTCACGGTAGCGTTCAAAACATTAACTGAAATAATTTCAACAACAAGTTCAGTATAAAAACTAAACAATTTAACTAATGGGTCCCGTTTTAAAATGCGAATCAAACAACTCAGCTGTTTCGTACGTGTTGGTCGTGTAGATATGAAATTACTAATTTTTAGACTTAAAATTTCATAAAAAATGGAACACATTTGGCACAGTTCTGCGTCGTTCCTGATTACGATAGGTCCATTTCGTGTCTATTTCTTGGGTGTAATGTATTAGTTTAGGCAAGGACCAATAATTGAAGAGGACCGCTAATCTTGGCACAAGACAGCGTAGTTGTGTATTTAGTACGAAATTTTTATAAGTAATTTGTTTTACATTGACGAACTACAATTGGATGTAGTTAAACAAAAACATTCCAATGCTCATCCAGTCACTTTCGAGATATGGCAGTTTAAAGTTTAAAAGTGTTCCTCACTCTTATTATATTTTCAAAACTTAATGTCATACAACTGCAGAGATATTTATTTACGTTGGATTTTTTTTTTGTTGATACAGGAGAATTTAGGAACCGTTTGGTACATATAACTCATTTTTTGATAATTTTGTTGATTGGATCATTTTTACTTAACCTCGTCCAATTTATCAAAGCTATTCTAATTTCTAGTGATAACAAAGAAATAAACTAGATGGCGCTTACTGAACACTGAACAGAATTAGCGTCATCTGCCCATACCAACAATAGTTAATTTATAAAAGTAGAAAATTTGAATAATATTACAAAGAAAAAGCTGACTACTTATCTTTCATATTAAAGAGCAATTAATTAATTTCCTCAACCATTTAAATAATATAAACAACTTTCGGGCTATTAATTTGCGTCACCTAGATGTAAGCCGTGGTAGCCTGATGGTTTGACCTACTGCCTCTCGAGCAGAGGGTTCGAATCCGGGCTAGCACCTCGTGAGTTTCTCGAAATTTAATTTGAAGTTTATCATGAGCTTCTCGGTTCATGGAAAGCATTGGGACGAAACCTGCACGTCAAAGATGGTTCACATTCCTCTGAAGACGTGTGAAGTTCCCAACCTGCATTGGGTCAGCGTCGCGGACTATGGCCTAGACCCTCGTCTGAAAGGGTACTCGTGCCCGGCAGTGGGACGTATAAATGGGTTGATGGTGATCTAGATATAAGACGGAAATTTGACCTTTTTAAAAGTTACGATCTATAACGGAGTAGCTAGATTAGTAGTCCTCTTGAGCCTTGAGTTTTTCTGTGTATAACAAGATTCACGGACAGATACTGATTTTATTCTATCATCACTTGAAGATACCAATCTATAAGCACCTCTTCAATTTACAATTTTGAAGAAGAAAAACGGTTTATATTTTTTGGAGAATAACGTAGTTTCCATAAAACTAATTAATTATTTACATTACATAACACACTCCCCCGCACACGCGCACGCTCACTCACATTAATATATTATATAGTCAGGTGGTATAAGAGGACCATATTTTGGGTCAAATGATTTAAACTCTAGGAAGAACAAACAGCAGGGCTAAAAAGGGTCGTATTGGCAAAGTCATAATATGATTAATTGACATTTCATATTATGAAATTTCAAACAAAACAAAAAACGCAATTCATCTACTTGACACTGTACTATGAATAGACCTCCATTGTTGTTAAAACACGTTCTATGATAGAACACTGTCAAATAAATGAATTACATTTTTTGTTTTGTTTGAAAATTCATAATATGAATTGTCCGTTAATCATATTATGATTTTGCCCCCAGATAAAGTCTTATGAGAATTGAAGTACAACTAAACTTGCCCTCGTTTATCAGTTTTACATGTTAACAATCATAACGTTAAATTCAATACTTGTGTCGTCTTTGCCGAAAACTTGCAAATTGTGCTAACGTTTCTCTTGTTCCAAAATATGGAGAACAGGCATCGTATTTCTTGTAAAGGTAATGTATATCTCGTGTTCTCAAGATTTCACAATAATCAAATTTGATTTTTACCACCTTTTTGGATTTGGAGCATCGTAGCGACATCTCTTTAAAATAGTTTAAACTAATTTACCTGTTTTACCGACTGAGAGACTATAGTGCTTCAGATTTCCTCTTCCCTCGGTGTTCCTCCTACCCCACCTGACTCTGCTAGTTTCATTTTCCTTTGCATATTTTAAGTACCATACAAACTTTCATTTCTTTGTTTTACGTAAAAAATGTAACATGGAAGAGCGGGGCTAACACAAGTAAAATGTTTACTTTACAAGTAACCCCAACACCGGATACTCTAATTATTATAAAATAGTAAACACATATATCCTTTTCTAAATACAAATCGTTTATTTATAAGAATTTTTATTCAATGTTGTTATTTAAATGGTTCCTTTCTTTCAAAATTGTAAGTGTTCATTGGGTGCTTTTGTAGACAAAATGCGATCCTTTACAATCATGTAATATCTTTGTGTAGCCATGTTTACGCAATAACATTCATGTACAGATGTATAAACGTAGAAAATTGGGTCAAGTCGGAAAGCACGAATACTTCCGAACGCTGTTGCCACGTTAATAATTTTTTAACAGACTTGAAAAAAGGAGGATTGAGAACCTCAATTCGACTGTTTTTTTTATGTATGTTACGCGATAACTCGTAACTATTTGTAAACCGATTTTGATGATTCTTTTATGTTGGAAAGGAGGTACTTCAATAGTGGACCCATTTAAATTTCAAGAAAATATTCCACCTCCAAGGGTGGCAAACTAGGGGATGAACGACTTTTGAGGTCAGTTTTTTATTACTATATACTGAGATCCATTGACTTACAAATAAATGGACGACGGGTCTAATACAAAAACCACGAAAAAAATGTCCCAAGTCAACCTATTCGAAATTTAAATTGTTATGTCATCGCAGTATCGCGCTGTCCGTAGAACAAATGAAGACTAAAGCGGAGTGTCGCGCTCTGTATACGATTTTAGCGCCTTACAAGTGCGGACACTTTTTAGCGCGGACCCGACATCCATATAATTGTAAGTCAATGCTGAGATCAAATAGTTTATATTTCTCGTTTAGAATTTTGCCAGCATCTAGTCAGTCATATATGTTTAACTTCTCAACAGTGCTATTTTAGTCTATTTCGGTTTCTGGGATCATCAAATAATTTTTTCAGTAAAAACGTGTCGAAAAACGTAAAAAATGACCATTATTGATTATCGTGTAAAAAACCATATTATTATATGGTTTTAATTAACATTCTTACACTGGCCTCACAGTACATTTACGAAAATGTAATTTATGTTAAGAGGTATAGTAATTTCTTTAAGAAAAATAGTGACAGACATAACATTAATACGAGGAATAGAAATAAACTAGCTGTTCTTGATAGTCGTCTTCACAAAGTCAAAAAATCATTTAAAGGGCAATGTATACGCTTCTATAACAAGATTCCGGTTGATATACAAAATTTGCCTTTCACGAGGTTTAAAACTATAGTGAAACAAAAACTTTATACTACAGGTTATTATACAATTTCTGCGTAATTGGCTGACAAAAATCCGGTAGTAACCCGTTTAGCTCATGAAGGTAGTCTCGATCTCTGATGTTTCAAAAAAAAATGTGCACAAATGTTATTAACAAAGAGCAACCCCTAGAGTTTCTTACTCATTCTTCTCAGGGGAATCTGCCTTACGAATGAGCGGTAGAGTTTAACCATTGTGTCGATTTTAAGTGTAATAATGTTTACCTATGAAATAAAGATTAAAAAAAAATAAAAATAAATAAATAACTGACGGTCAATAAACGCGGCAACAAAGTTCGGTAATATTCGCGGTTTCCGACTTATTCCGATGTTCAATATTCATTCAATATATTTGTATTCTCAAATACAAGGGAACCGCGCAGCGTTCGGTGTGTACAATCCTTTACATTTACATGATACATACACAGCGATTAACAATTAATCGTGGTAATTATAACAAATCTATGGAAAATTTCAGGGACGGCTGTGTTCAACACACTGATGAGTTAGTTACCACCGAAATTGGTTCAACTGGGAAGTGAACCAATTGCCTTATCCCAATGAGCTCTACACAAGAAGCGAACTCTTTATAAATACAATTAATTTTATACGAATACCGCGCCGCGTTCCGTGTGTAAAGCTCGTAACATTGAACCATAGACAATTATCTAAACAAGACAAAAGAAAGCCAAAAGTCCCGCGACCGCTCTTTTCGAGCGGAGCCCTGATCACTGTACCTCCTCCTCGCCAGGTACCTCTGGAGGTGCGTCAGCAACCTCCTCCTCTCTCAATCTGTTCGGTTCCAGCTCTATAACAGGATCAGCAGTGGCTTCGGCCAGGTTTGTGACAGATTTCGATTTGAAGCATTGAAAGTCAACATGGCGACTCTTTGCTTCTTCCTTTTCCCATGACATATGAATGAAAGGCCGTTGGACGTAGTTGTATATGACTTCGGCGCGGCCACCTGGCAACATAACAATAACATGGTAATAATATTAATTTTATTGAACGTCAGATGTTTTACTAAATTAAAGTAAAAAAAAAATATGATATTAGATTATTGTTTTGTGAAATTACTGCACTATAAGCATTGACTTACAAATAAATGGACGACGGGTCTAATACAAAAACCACGAAAAAAAGTCCCAAGTCAACCTATTCGAAATTTAAATTGTAATGTCATCGCAGTATCGCGCTGTCAGTAGAACAAATGAAGACTAAAGCGGAGTGTCGCGCTCTGTATACGATTTTAGCGCCTTACAAGTGCGGACGCTTTTTAGCGCGGACCCGACGTCCATATAATTGTAAGTCAATGACTATAAGTCTGCCTTTTTTGAAGACGGAGTAAAATGACATTTGGAGGGTTGCCAGTGTTAGTTAGTTGTTGTCGATAGTTTTATCGATAGATTGTGAAAGAAGATAGATTTTTGCCAAAAATGTCAGAATTGTGAATGTTACGACGTTCTAATGATTACTAATTGCATTATTGCCTTTTATATTCTTACTTTGTCAGTTCTAAGATCAATTTTTATTCATATAGAATTTAACAAGAATAGCCGGATTTGAATGAAAAACTTTAAAATATGTCTCCTCTTTGTATTTATCATGAACATAGCCTTAAATACAGTATGTATGTATGAACTTACAAAAATTGACAATTCCAATGAACTTGTGCTCAGTAATTGGATGAATAACGAGTAGATGGTGATTAAAATGAAACAAGGTCGGATATTTATTTCATAAGCCTGACCAATATTTAGTTGATAGTCGATAGAATATTTATCGACTGCAATCACTAGCTGCTCGCAAGCGGGCACCACTTTTACGCAATGAACTGTCATTTCACACTTCAAAAAAGACAAGACTATCGTTTGTAACAATTATTTACAACTGGTGGAGTAATTTCACTTGTTGAGTAAAGAAAAACTTTCATCGATTTGTCATAGATGGCGTTACATTAAAAAGTCGCTAAAAACCAAAAACAAAGACTTGCAATAAGCACTAGAAAAATTCGTAAGGTCTTTTGGTTCGTTCCGTAGCTTAGTTGGCAGAACGTCAGCCACGGTATGTTGAAGGCGTTGCTTCGAAACCAGTCGTATCGAAGAATTATTTCACACACACACATATATATATATATATATCTGCAAGCGAGATAGAAAACCTATAGTCCGTTTCTTTAGCTTTAATGAGAGCAATCTATTGAATATGTCGAAAACAAAGCCGGCGACGTAACTAATAATATTTTTGAATACCAAAATCAAAATAAATTGCAACAGTTATTGAGTTTCACTATAGTCCATAGGATTTCATATTTCATCATGAACATCAGTCTGACTTTCGACTTAAGGCAATTAACCTAGTCTCAAAACTAGGTATTTTGGGATTCTGAGAACCAATCCATATAATATTTTTAGTAACAAGAAAGAAAGATTTCGGCCTCACTGAAAACCAGCGAAACAAGGTTTTTTCACACGTCTTGTTACAAAAAGTTGAGTGGAGACCATTTTGGTAACTTTTAAATGTAATAGGAAATGAAACTATTTTTCCAGTTTGTTTGAAAAAACAAATACATGCGATTTAAATCCGGAAAATTAGTTTCATTTCCTATGTGTAACAATCGCGAAAACCTAAGAACTCGATATTTTAAAAGTAATTCTTTTATTTTGTGGTTTATCATAAGATTATTTTATTTTTGTTATCATTTTGTTATATATATATTTTGTCATAAGTTTATCAAATAAACTACTTTTCTTTCTTTCTTCTTTCTATTTCATCATGTGACGTACAGCCCATACCATACCCACTTCTGGTGCCAAGTAGTAAACTTGATCATTACATTCCGGTATGGGACTTGTCAATGTCTCAGGGTGACGAGTGCAGTGGCAGTGTCCCACAGATCTTTGTGATTTAAACCTCTGAATGGCACTGCAACTGTTATGGACAGGCGTGTCGCTTACCAATAGACACACGACTTGTTTGTCCGTCGTTAAAAGTGCGTTTGCTTAACTGTTAACTGTGTCTACATACCTGGTCTTTTGCGGACTTTTTCCTTGTATGTCGGGTAACCCTCAACGCCGAGGCGGATCTTTTTGAGACCACGCTCTTTCATTACTTGTTTTGCTACATCTCTGTGAAACAAATAGTTAACAATTTCATTATTGCAATATTGATTGTAATGAATATTATGATGTTTCGCACGCAGGGAAGGAATGACAGTGACAATGCAAATTTCTGATTTTGAGTAACGAGCATTGACTTACAAATAAATGGACGACGGGTCTAATACAAAAACTACGAAAAAAATGTCCCAAGTCAACCTATTTAAACGTAGTAACATGTCAAGGAATATGAAAAAGCTAAAACGTTGAATTTAAATTGTAATGTCATCGCAGTACTGTCTAATTTTACTTGCTTCGCTGTCAGTCGAACAAACGAAGACTAGAGCGTGAATGACGCTCTGTATACGATTTTAACGCCCTATAAGTTCGGACACTTTTTAGCGCGGACCCGACGTCCATATAATTGTAAGTCAATGGTAACGAGCAACTAAAGTTCTGAAAATTGTGCCAACTGCAATTTCTTACTCAACGAAGATTTCTGAATGCGGTTTCCAGCTAATATAAAAGGGAACCTTTATAGTTTTAGAAGTATTATAAAAATATTTCTCCCGGCTCGGAAGACGTATCCGACCCGGGTACCACGTGTCACACCACCATGGAAACCGTTTGGCCACGGAAGCAGTTAGTCTTCAAATTTGTAACGACTTTTCAAAGAAAATACTTTTAATCTATATATGCTCCGGAATGTTATTGCAAAAAAATATAATGTGGTTATGTTGAATGTAAGTGACATCTTACCTGTTCTCGATATATTTGAAAAACCTATACAGTGGAGTGGAACAAACTGTCTGACTGTATTCATCTCCCATTTGGGGGGGATACTGCTCGTCCCAGTCTACGGTGTCATCGTCCAGGAGTACCACGACGTGACACTCCCTGTCCCCTATCTCAGCCGACACCACCATGAGGGGCAGGATGAGTCTCTCGAGGAAAGACTCGAACTGACGACGAGCTCCTTCGTTTGATAGCTCGTGGAGAAGGCCTCGGAGATTCTATGAAACGCAAATTTTTTTTTGTGTTCTTGTTTTATTTGCAATTAGTCTCAAACTATAGTTTGTCTTCTTTGAAAACGGAGTAAAATGACATTTGTAGGGTTACCAGTTTTATAAAATTTTGAATTCTTATCGATAGATTGTGAAAGATGAAATTTTGCCAAAAAAAACTGCATTGTGAATGTTACGACGTTCTAATGATTTGAGAGCCTTCTTTATTTTTATTTTAACAGATGACCTACTTGTAGAGAGATCAAATTGAACTGTCATTATATATATATTAATAAGTATCGATAGTAAGTTTCACATATCGAGCGTCTACTCTTTAAATGGTGTTGTCTCTACAGGGAACAAAATATCTTTCCGTTCAAGGCGCATTTTATAGCTTCGCATTGTCAGCTTGGCTGCCAGTTCGTTAGAGTGTTCCTTTTTCGGTATTTGACAGTAACATTGTGGATTTCATCCTTAGCTACATAGTCTATAAACTCTTACCTGGCATCTGACAGTGTTAGCGTCAAATGGCACCAGCAAATAATCGCAAGCTTCCCTCAGTTCCTGTACGGACACTGTAGGTGGACATCGGATGGTGCCTCCACGGTAATACTCCAGTATTGCTCTGAAGACTGTTGCTGATATACCTTCAGCGACTTCGTACTCGCCACGTTCGTTTGGATGGGTAAATTCAAGACCTGGAAAAAAGAAAGGAAAATTTTGGAAGCTTTTATGCAATACAAAACCATTACGTGCAATTCATTTTATAATAATGATGGACAGTCCCATACCTTCTACTTAAGTTTTGTGTATAGAGTCCCTATCAACTTTTTGGTTATATGGGAAGGGTACTATTACTTGTGCAAGCAAGCCTGCACAGGGACCTTATCAGACAGATCAGCCTGTTTATAAACTTCATCCGATGCTCAAAAGGTCTTGGGTAAATAGCGACGATAAAAAAGAGGTAAAAACTCTAAAAAGTAAATTAAAAGTTTTACTGCGTTATTTATTAAACTAGTAAAAACTTTTACGGAAATAAAAATACGGAAAAACTGAATGGAATACTGAAAGTTCCGAAAAACCTTGCCGACGCCGCCGTGATACTACTCTATTAACTTATATTTTACCGTAAATTTATTATTAATTCAAAAGGGACTTTATAATGTTCCTGTTAATTTTGGTGCTCATAATAGCATTTCCATCATACTATTATGGGTGACAACATAGTACATAACTCGGTAAGTTAGTTTTTCTTTCGGCACTTTAACATATTAATCGGAAGTGTAGTTTTATTCGTAGAATTGTGATTTGAACAAGTTCTTGATTGTTTACTAAATATTATTAATTTTGTAGGTATATTCTGCGTTTATTTTTCTGGAAGTCAAGTTTAAAGTTAATAAGAACAGTTAGCCTTAGTCCGCTAAGATAAGTGTACATTTGAACCCAGTCTCACCCGACGGTAAGCGACGATGAGGTCGACGACGTAGTATATACTTAAATAGCGCCTATTCACTCTCGCTTTGAAAAAATATAGCGTTCGGGGAATAAGTCTGCAGGTGGGGAATTCCACTTATTTGCCGTTCGCCATATAAATGTGGAGGCGAAAAAGAAACGCCTCGCGCGAATCTTTAGAATATCAACAGCATAGTCGTGGAACCCCAGCCTACGTTTAGTCCCACGATGATGAAATTGGGCATGCGGAATTAGATCATGTATTTCCATCGCGCTCTGCGTGATATATCCTGCAGAATACTGATTAGCGTATTTGTCAACTCTCATCCTCAATATTTTAAAACACGCGGTGAAGTCATTCAACGGCAAACTAGAGCAAAAATTATGAATCTCTTACACCAACCTCGTTGCCATAAAGTAATTTATAGGAATAACTGCTTCAACATGTGTCTAATTATTTACAATAAATTACCAAACGAAATTAAATTGTTACAAGGACATACTTTCAAATTAAAATCAACAAAATGGCTTTTGACACATTGCTTCTTTTTATTTTACTTAACACCTTTGCAATTACTGTATTCTGGCAAATAAACGTACTCTATTCATATATACAGTGGTTTGAACTCCGCTCTCAGCAGCTTTGTCTCTACTAAATCCGAGTCACCTACAAGCCTCTTGCCACGTTTTTTGGAATTTTTATTATTTTCCATAAAAAAGTTTAGCAATAAAGATATTTAAAATTCAAGGATTATCTTTATTAGTGTAGGAGAATTGTGAAATATTTCAATATACTCCGCAGTTAAGAACTAGTCACGCAGCGCACGCGCAACCTCAAATAAATACAGTATATATTGCACAACAATTTATACATAAATTGATTACAAACTCAGCGTCGTCTCGCAAGTATCATTCTGCTCTTCCATCAAGCATAGCAAGCAAAGTTGCGTAACCAATGAGATTTATTAAATTATTATATAGTAAATACGTTATCTAATTCCAATGTATATATAATACTACAAACCGTGGTAACCTAATGGTTTGACCTACTGCCTCTCAAACAGAGTGTCATGGGCTCGATTCCAGGTACCTCTGAGTTCATAGGATTTGGTGAAGAGAAACAATGTAAGGAAAGCAATTTAATAATTAATGAAAGTCCCAATCGGAATGGGCCCGCTTAGGAACTACAGCAATCGCATTCAATGTGCCCGCTTAGGAACTACAGCAATCGCATTCAATGTGCCCAGCAGTGGGACCATATAGACCAAGTATTATAATTATTTACTCATACAACATATATATTTTTAAAAGTTCTCTAGGTGCCTAGAAGACTGGAAAAGCAACAGTCTTACCTGGAAGGACAGTAGCCTTCTTTGGTATACCGATGGGTCTAAGATGGGACCCAACGTAGGCTGTGGTATACACTGCGTGAGACCCAGGCTCAGCTATAAGCTGAATTTGGGACGACACTCCTCTACTTTCAGGCCGAAATGTACGCCATAATTGCTTGTGTGGAAGAGAGGCTACGTTAACGACGAACGAACGAACTGGCAAAGGTTGGTGCTAGGGAAACCTTTATTATATAATTATAGGGATAGCATACAGCCTGGCAAAGCTCACTCTGCTGAACGAAAGCACACACGTCTCCCGAAAAGTGCTACAGAGTAAGAGTGTTGAGCATTCAAAAGCCCTGATAGCTGCCTACAGTGCCAAACACTGTAGAGAAGCTCTGTCATTGGACAGGAATGACGTCAGAATGCTCACTAGAGTCGTAACAGGACATTGTGGCACGAACAAGCACATGTCAAATATAGGGCAGAGAGAGAATAGAGAGTGTAGATTCTGCCACGAGGCGGATGAAACTCCTGCTCATCTTCTCACCCAATGGGCGTACGAAGCTCCATACTGGGAAGGCACATGCTACAAAGAGAGGACATTAAATCTGTCGGAGCAAGGAAAGTCCTTCAGTTCTTCAATGCTGTCGGCCTTGGTTCCGAACTGTAATTAGTGGTGATCACAATAGAACAACTGATGGTCACAGTGATGAGGGACTACATATGCCCCGAATGAAGCCACCATAATATAAAATATGATAAATACATAAACTCTCCGGTAATGCCCCCACGCAACGCGCTTTCTAAAATCTAAATTGTCTAATCTCTCAGCTTCTGGGTGTAGACATCTTTTATGACAGCATTAGCAAACTAATGTATAAATAAACAAATACTATAACATACAAAATTTTGTAAATAGTATTAGTAATTAGCATGTAAATATTTCGTCGTGAAATTGATCTACCAACAAATGGATGTCGCCATCGGGTCTAATACAAAAATCACGAAAAAAAGGCCGAAGTTAACCTATACAAACATAGTGAAATGTAACGAAATATAAAAAAAACTAATTAATACATTTAATTTTAATTGTAACGTCGTTGCAGTACTGCCTAATTTTGCTTGCAACAATTTAAGGGCGTAAAAACACCATATTCAGCTTCTATTGGAAACTTAACAAAATGCACCATATTTAGCTTCGACTGAAAATTACATGAACTTATTTGTAATTGTATTACAACCACACGCAAAATAGGCGCGTTGACGTCGAGTTGCGGACACCAGTCCGTTACACAAGTACTTGAACACAAGAGAAATAATAAAGAGTTGGGCAAGATACATACAAGTAAATATTACAAATGTGAAAATAAGCGTGTACTATAAGAAATGTACCGATATTCCAACTAAACGTAAACTTTTATACGTAATTAACGTAAATAATAAAACTGTTACGCTTTCAAGTAATTGTGATGCTTTTCACAAAGACAAAATTAGCTTTTGTTTTGTAATATTCCTAAAAAAATACATTTAACATTATGAAATTTCTAGCTAACGTTATTTCGAGCAAATGTATTTTCTGACTTCTGAAAGGTAATCCCAACCCGTAAAACGAGTACAACAATAATTTGTTAGTATTTGCTAAAGTTTAATAAAAAATAATTTTAAAAATAAGATTAAAATGAAAGGGACTCTATCTTTGTTCTAAATATTTCAAGTGCTTGTGGTTCGAACAATTGAAAATGACCAAGAAGTTTATACAAGCTTCTTCAAATTGATGTAATGGGTCTCTGCTCATCTTTTGCGCATGCAATGTGTAGAAGAAGGACTGATAGCTATTTGATTATTTTGTTTGCTTTTGTAATTTATATATAAATTAAATTAAATAATAAACAACTGTACAAAATAACACTTTAAAATGAGAACTATGATAACACAATATATTTGTTTGGTGAAAACATGATACAAAATCCTGTTTTTACACTTAACTGCAGTAATGTTTACAAGTAATTATTTATGGTACTGCATGATTGACAACCGCGCTGGCAGTCGAACAAACGAAGACTGTTGCGCGATTGACACTCTGTATGCGACTTTAACACCATAGTAGTGTCCACATACATACATACAAAAATACAGATTTTAGCGCGAATCCGACGTCCGTTTGTTGGTAGGTCAAATAGTCGTGAATAAATAAATGAATAACAAGTTAGTTTGATGTGTGACCTTTCTATGACATTAAAAAGTCAGGTCAAAATTTGGGGTGCAGAAAACGAGCCTCCTTTATGTATGGCAGTAGGCAGTAGCCTGTGCATAGGGTACCCAAGGCAACAATCGACGAGAACCTTACATCGATTGGCAAATTCTTTCAGCACGATGCCAAGCATTATAGTGTACACCATCGATACGATAATAAGGTAAAACCACCCCAAAATAAACAAGCAAAACATGTATGCAAGGAATGTCGCAAGGGTATTTTTAGTAGAGCTCCTTGGGAAAGAGTTTGTCCAGGGAAGTGCTGCCACATTACTGTCCTAGTTTTTAAGGGTTTACCCTTGGGGTGGGGTGCTGGTGAAAAGATCTTTGCAATTTAAAACTCTGTGTGACACTGCAACTGCTATAGACAGACGCGTCGCTTACCGCCAGCGCACGACTTGTTCGTCGCGTCTCTTGCCATCATGAAAAAGAATCCCATTGGGACTGTGATGATTTGTACCAAACTGTAATTTTGGTAGAGACAGAATTGAAATATATAGTCATGAGTATGAATATAAATTAGTTAATCATTTTCACTAAATGGGTTTCATGTTTTAATGCCATTTTGATGATTCATTTACTTTCTCTTTAGATATCAGCGCCATGCAGCAGTGAGTCACTTTGCAACGTAAATAAAGTGTAAATTTTTCTAATAATAATGAAGTAGGATTGCATTGTCTATCAACACATATTCGCCATACTGCTTGGGGCACAGATCTACTTTTAAGGGGAGACAGTTGCATAGCATTATGTAATAATTCCATACATATAATTTTCACGTTAAAAATGAAATTTTAAAATCTCCAATTGATTACAAATATAAATTTTTATTTGCTATAACTAGCATTAAAAACATCTGTGTTATATTTAGAAGTATGTAATGTGAAGTTTATTTTTATTTTAAGCTATTTGTTCTCCTAAACACTTCTTATTAAAAATTTTTGGTATGTTCATTTTTTTTACCAATTCCGACTAGCATGCATTTACAATATACACATTATGATTGGATAATAGATCTGATAATTACCATACTAACAAGTAATTATCCCCTATTGACTTTGGTTTTATTCCAAGATAGCTTATTGTACTTTATATGCTTTGTTATCAACATTGTATACATTATTATAATTAGGGTGAGTGATTCATTATTTGTGCCCATTATTCATCCCCTTATCATTGTAAATGGCAAATGATCATGTGATCACCACCAATTAGAACCAAAACAATGCATTTTAGGATTTTGTTAGCTCCGATTGTGTAGACTTTTTTAAAATTAAACAGACTTCCTCTTGACCACTACCTAGCCCTGGAGCAAAGATAGGGTTAATGATGGAACGAGTTCGCCAAGAAGATGCCTATTCAGTCGCACCATAAAGATACTAGGGTTGTATGTGCTCGGAAACACACTTGCAGGCAGGGATTTCCATTTCTGGGCTGTGCGCATAATAAAAGATGATGAAAAGCGCTTAGTATGCCTGAAGAGAATATCGATCAAGTAAGGGTTATACCCGATTGTAAAAGGGGGTGGGGGGATGAGCTGACGGACTCCTCTAGCAGGGATTTACTCAAGAGTAACTCTTCAATGTCCCCTTAAAGCAAGCTCCACTAGCTTCCTTGTTATTTAGTTATTCGATTCCCCAATTTTATTATAAACCTCTGTATTCTATTGTCCCCTAACTTTGCACCTTAAAGAAGTTGATGTGGTAAAAAATCAAATAGCCAAGCAGCTCACCATGCCAGAAAGCATATGACAACTAAAAAAAGGTGACTTTGACCACAATAGTCAGCAAAATATCTGACAGCATAACCTATAGGGATGGGCTCCACTGGGAACAGCACCCTATAACCCTGTTGCCATAGCCAATAAGTCTGATTGCAGGGCAAAATAAACAAGAAAAAATATTGTTTATACAGCCTCTGTGGCCTAACAGTTACCATGTGGGCACTGGATGATGAGGTCCCGGATTCAAGTCCCTGACTCTTTTTAATTGGTTCTGGTTAATGTCTCAGATTGAATTTTGGTCATCAGGTAATTACTTAGATTGACTGGCGGAATAGTTTTCATAAAAAACTTACCTGAACTAAACATTCTTCCCAACATGGTGTTGGGATGTGCAGTAAATTGAGCAGGATCGACGACGAATCTTGTGTTATCAACAACCAAGGTTATACGATCGTCACAGAGCTGGTTTTGTGCCTTCTGACCGTTTTTGGGAGGATCCTGCGCGGATGAAGTTGAGGGAGTAGGCTGGTTTGGTGATAAGTTCTTTGGGGGCATATTTGCCGACGGTATCCTGGTTCTTAAAGGCCCGTTGCGTTTGGAAAGCCTCTTACGCCTCTCCTCGTTGTCTCTTCTGTACTCTTCAGTATCACTACTGCTGTCAGGATAGAAAAACGGCCTTCTTTGTTCAGTCATGGCCTCCTGGCCCGTAGTTTGTGTATCCGACATAGAAACGAGCTCGACTAAGAGCTATTCCATTACGTTAGATACAAAAGTGTGGACAGTCGTTTTCTGTAACGTTCTGTGCAAATTTTTCTTCCGTGAAATGGAAAAAGCAAGTTTTAGAAAATTATCGTCAGCACCATTTGACAGGCTTTGCTCCAATTCAATGTGACCAGATTTAAAATGATGATCTTGCAAACTGTTCAGATGAAAACTGCTAACATCCGCTGAATATTTTTGAAAAAATGTTATGGTGGGACTCGTGTGGCACGACAACACGTAACACGGCTATTTGTCTTTTGCGTACCTATTTGATCAATTTGTCAAACAATCATTATGTGTCGAAGTGTGGCAAAGTATTTGCCTTTTTATCTATTCGACAAATACCAAACATGCGTTACCGTGCGCTGTTTGATTTATCGACCCACATCAAAGGAGTCAAATAAGCAAATACGCAAGTCTGCACTATTTCTAATTATTATTTTATCGTCTTATTTAGCTCCTTATACAGACGATCATACCCGTCAGTAACTGCATGTTTGTCATACATCAAACATTCTTCCAAGTAGGTACAGGGTCAATAGCATGTGAAGCCTGACGCTTAACGCGTAAATCAAACTATATGCAACTTACGATAAGAACGGTCCAAAGTACAAAGTGCTGAGCTTGATGTGCTCTTGACGTACGTACACAATATATACCTACAACAACATCCAATAACGAATACGAATAGCCATGTAAAATTGTGAAGAGTCGCCTTTAAAAATTATGCTAACTAATAAGTAATTGTTGTATGGAAATGTCAAAACACACAAACTCTTGTAATTAATAGTATTTATTTATTCCGAAGTGTCAATATTTTTTGAACCTCGGACTAAAAAGGAGGGAGTTATAAGTTTGAATCCTTTGTCTGTGTGTTTGTCAGTGGCATCATAGCTCCCAAATGAATTGACTGATCTCAAAACAGTTAAATTTTAATTTAACTGGAATGATTCTTAACTATATTTGATGAATATGTATTCGAAAGTATTGTATATCATGAACTCTTTTTGTAGTTAGTGTAAGAATTTTTTTTCAGATGTCTATTGGACTTGAAATTTGGTATACACATAAATATAATACATCGATAAATCGTTATCGGATTATAATAATAAATAATGACATTGATTGGATGCTGCAATCAAGATTACTTACAGTAGAACTATCGGTTTTAATTTATTAAATTGGTCTCTATAAAGTAATCTTGCTAAATTTTAGCTAAGGTTTTATTAGTTCTTATCATGTTCTCACAAAATTCATATTTTTTTCTTACTTCGGTAAAATCTGCTGGCTTATTAAATTAGGAATCTTATTCTACCAAAAATGCAGCATCTCACAAGAATCTGGTCACATTGCTTTATCGCAAAAAAAAAGAAAGTAATAAGCCTGTTCTCTATTACAAAATGATATTTTATGATTGTGACAGGGTGGGTTTATGTAGCAAGTGCATTATATGCGCGTATCCGAAATTTAAAAAAAATACCGACCGACTGAATCGGCTGTTGACCTTTTCTGTCAGATGCGGAAATTATTAATTTTGTAATTTGTTTTTTTGCTTTTAATTCTACGAATTCAGTTACCAAACAAACGTAGTTGTTAAAAAATGTGGTAAAGCTGTATTATCGTGTTGAGTCACAGTGTGAAAAGTATCTTTAAATAGGATTCGTAAAATTCGTTTTTTGGGCGCTGGTCCGACGATTGTAGTGATATTTTGTTGGAAAAACAGTGATAAATGGATCGCCAGGAAGAGTATCATGATCCAGACTACCCTGGAACCTCAACATGCGCGACTGACGAGTCGGCGAATCTGTCGGAAGAAGCAAGACTGGAGAAAATTCGTAACGTTGTCCGCCGGGAGTTTGCAAATGAATTAGAAGTCAGAGAAAATGAAGTAATGCTCATAGACCAGCGGTAAGTTGTGAACTTGAACTTGGTTTAAGTTAAAATTATAATTTTGAGGTTATATTTCCGCCTGGTTGTATTTATTAAAATAAAAAAAAACACCACGTGACTAAATCATTGTTTGAGTATATTGTTTTGAAAGCACTCAATGTTGATAATAATCTGTATAGTTATAGTGTAGAGGTATACTGCTAAATTGGTAATGTTATTTTTTAACATGCATTTTATAATGCTGTTAACACTTTCCCTATGTAACTGGAAATCAGGCTACATTTCTTCTTATACATATATAATTAGCTTGATTGACACCACATTTTGTATGAAAACAACCTGAAGATAGATGAGTGCGGTTACAGTAGAACCTGCCACAAAACCAATAATATGTTTTTCCATCATCCACTTAGGACACAGTCCACTTAGGACTTATGATGGAAAGAGCTTGCCTAGATGATTCTTATTTAATCTGTTTTATTAATTACCTTTATTGATCTCTGGTGGGCAAACAATACTCCTTACAAGAGGAAAATAAAGTTATTAACATAGTTGCATTTAGATTATTCAGTAAATTTGTTTTAATTAAAAATTTAAGTTGCGAAACCATTGCAGCTCACAAACACCTTCAGTTCTGTAATTCTAAGGCTTTTGTTTCTTGTGATTTAATTAATAGTCATTCTGAGAGGCTGCACAGGTTTTGAAAAGCCCCACAATTAAAAATAAAGAGCTGTTTGTTTATGTTGATATGTAAGAGTGTGGTGTGTTATTGTGTCTGTACTTATTTGTCCATAGGATGTCAACATCTCGTCGTCTGCTTCATCGCCTTCGATATACACTAGTGAATAATTACTTCAATGACCAAAAACTGCAGCTCAGTGGTGCTCAGGTCCAGGACGAAGTTGCTGCTCAGCATGAGCCCAGGGCTAGGAATGAGGTATATGGTGTTTTGAGTATTTTAAGGTAACGCTGCATTATTACTCTTGAATGCTAATGTTTGTCTGATGTGCGAAGTGAACTACATTTCGAAACCCATTCTCTGTATTCAAAGTTGTTTTTTATGTTACTATGTAATACAACGTGAACAGTAGTGATTCAACATTTAGGTCTTGGTATATACAACACTATGTCTAGTGTGTCAGATTCTCTCTGAGTGGCCCTGTAGGAAATTACTTTTCTAAAGTGATTTATCTCTGGGGACACCTTTTTAGTCGCTTTAGCCTTTTTTTTTCTTAATGAATGGCTTGGAGATTAATTAATCTCAATTCTGCCAGAGTGTCCATTTCCTATTTTTTTTGCACGTCATGGAGGGTGTGTTATACAATACACAGAAAATTTTGTTCAGTTACTCAGAGGGAGTATTTAAGAGATTTTTGCACAACTTGATTGATACCTAGAACAATTCACACAACAATTTGTTGTTCTGGATTATAAAAAGATGGGGAGAAAATGTAAACAAATATGGTTGACTGACATTTTTTTTTACTAATTTTTTGGTATTTGACAAGTTTATACATTGTATATTCCACTTCTGGGCACGGGTCTCCTCCATCTCCGTCTGTCATCGCAAAAGGGTAATGAGCGGGAAATAGTTGAACAGAGGGGAGTAAAATAGTTTTGTCCTTCCACTAGCATATTTTGTCCTTCCTTTCACAAAACAGGTATTCGCCTTCCATACCCAGAGCGCTTGGCCGGCTTGGCGGAGCGAGCTAGGACATGTGGGCGACGGAGTACGTTCAAAACTAGCATGCGACACAATGACTCAATATAAATAAAATACTTTTTTATTTGTACCATCTTGGATCACTGGTACATAGGGCACTCAATAAGTTTTGAGATGCTCGAAATTTAAAAATGAAACGCAGCCGTATTATATGTTTTTAAAAAGCTAATTTCTTTAAAAATAGGTCACCAAAAGCAATTTAGCTAAATTAAAAAAAATATGACATTGTTAGTTATTTTACTACAACGCTTCCCGCGCTTTTTCTTTGCAATAATGGATTTTAACCGTGAACATTTTCGCGCTATGATCTTCTATGATTTTAAATGTGGTTTAACTGAACAATTAAGTTTGGAACGTTTGCAGTCAGCAATAGAGGACTCAGCTCCTTCTCGTGCAACAGTTTTTAGGTGGTTTAAGGAATTTAAAAGAGGCAAAACTAACCTTCAAGATGACCTAAGAGGCGGACGCCCGGAAACAGCAGTTACTGCAGAAAATGTGTGGACATCTGAAATGTTGGTGCGAGAAGACCCACGAATCACGTACACGAACATTGAGAAGATCCTAGGCATTAGTTCGGGTAGCGTCAATACTATCCTGCATCAACATCTTGGAGTCACAAGGAAGCTTTGTTGTCGATGGATCCCACGATTGCTCTCCGGTACTGAAAAACAGGCTCGAGTGGATTGGTGCCGAGAAATGCTTATACGTTTCGAAAACGGGACATCGAGACGTGTTTCAGAAATCGTTACTGGTGATGAAACATGGATCTATCAATATGATCCAGAAAGCAAGAAGCAGTCGTCGGTGTGGGTCTTCGCAGAGGGACAATTACCGACAAAGTTGCAAAGACCTCGAAACGTCGGCAAAAAAATGGTAGCTAGTTTTTTTTTCTCGGAGCGGACATTTGTCGACGTCAATGTTAGAAAATAGTAGGTCTGTTAATTCAGAATGGTACACAACAGTAGCATTGCCAAAAGTTTTCCAAGCTGTGCGGGAGAGGAGACCAAAGACCGGGCTTCGGGGAATCATGCTGCATCACGATAACGCCTCTTCACATACGTCTCTCAGAACAAAGGCGTTTATTGCGGAATCTGGTATAGAAACCTTAAATCACCCGCCGTACAGCCCTGACTTGGCTCCCTGCGATTTGTTTTCGTGCCCAACAGTGCAGGAAAAAATGAAAGGAAAATTTTTTTTGAGTGTCGAAGAAGCAGTGGCTGCCTACGAAATGGCAATTTCAATGCTGACGGATCAAGACTGGCAAAAGTGTTTTCAGAGTTGGTTTAGACGAATGAAACTTTGTGTAGATAAAGATGGAGAGTATTTTGAAAAAATGTAAAATAAATTATATTAATATGTTTGATATTTTTTCTTTATCTCAAAACTTATTGAGTGACCTACGTATTAAGTAGTTCAAATATAGCTACTTATACTATTACTTACTAGTTAGGGCGCGTTCCCACTACGTAGTCACGTTTTATTATCGTTGAACGACTTTCGTGTCTAGCCTGTTCCCATATCACGACTATCTGTCGTGGACGATTTTTTATCGTTGAACGACTGTCGTGACTAGCTGTTCCCACTAGATCGTGACGACAATTTATCATTTCACGACAGCCTCTTTGCCCATCTCTGGCTACGACCCAACGCTACTGCAAAGCGAGCAGAGGGCGCGGGGTACGAGAGGGGAGGGCAGGGAGCAAAATACGTGCGGACAGCGATAAATAAAACGTGACGACAATTCGACAGTCCGACGAATGTCGTTCTAGCTGTTCCTCCCACTGTGACGACAGTTTGTCGTTGTAACGATAAAAAATCGTGAACGACAGTTAATCGTGTCGTGCTATATGTGAACAACTTCATTTAAATATACAAGCCACGACACTGTAAACTGCACGACAATCTGTCGTCACGACATAGTGGGAACGCGCCCTTGCACATAAATTAGTATATCATTCCAATAATTTTATATCTATAATTATATATAATTTAAAATTTCAATTTATGCTACAACTTACAAACAAAATCAAACAAATTAAACCATTAAATCCTAAATGTTATTTAGGAGTTTCCGGTCGATTTAGGTGCTGGGTGGGTGGGAGTTGGTATCAAAACTTGAATTAGAACTAGAAGTTACCGAATGGCGGAAGACCCCAGTAGCGTCCTGAGCTACTCAATTTTTAGTTTAATTTTGGATTCGAGCCTTCAGCTCGCCCTTTTATCCGGTGTCTCAATCAATGCCATCAGTGGCCAACTGCAAAGTGTCAGAGTAAAAAAAAAAAAATTGACGCGCAGAACAGAATTACGGCGAGCATTCATGACGTGTGCAGCTACATCATAATAATTGTTAAAATTATTTATATGACCCCGCCGCAATGACACAGCAGAACCGTGACAATGCAGAGCATCTTAACTAAGCTGATTAAGCTTCGAACGCACTTCTAGGAAATTGACTGTTGGGAGTCAAATTACATAGGTAATGCATTTTGCTTTGGGGTAATGTCGCCGATATTAATACAGTCTTTGTCCTGCAGAAACATGCAGTTAGAGCAATTTGCAATCTGGGCTCCTAAGTGTCTTTGAGGGCAACCTATCACAAAGTCGAAATTTTTTTTGTCCAAAATAAGGTTTCTTCGAATTTTCATTACACCGAAAACCGAATTATAACGAAACAGTTGTTCTTTCAGGATATGTTGAATGTTTATCGCAAAGACACGATTAGGTTCGGTTAAGTGAGGTTTAAAAGAAAAAACATTTTCCTCTCAAAATTACTTTCGAGGTTATGAAATTTCGTGCAAACGTAATTTCGGACTACCGATAGGTAGGCCTTTGAGAAATAAGTTTAAAGAGATTAACATTCTTACACTAGTGTCACAGTATATTTATGAAAACATTATTTGTGTTAACAACAATGGTATTTTTTTTAATTAAAAATAGTGACAGACATAACATTAACACGAGGAATAAAAATAAATTAACTATATTTGACAGTCGTCTTCACATAGTCACAAATTCATTTAAGGGTGAAATTACAGGCACATGGGACTTGTCAACTTATGTCTCAGGGTGACGGGCGCATTGGCAGTGCTTCTCAGATCTTTGCGATTTAAAGCTCTGAATGACACTGCAACTGTTATGGACAGGCGTGTAGTTAGCACTAGGCGCACGACTTGTTAATCATGATATTATAAAAAAAAGGGGCAATGTATAACCTTCTATAATAAGATTCCAGTTGATCTTCAAGCTTTGCCTTTTACGAGGTTTAAAACTATAGTGAAACAAAAACTTACTTATGCGTATTTGGATGACAACAATCCGTGGTAGTGAGTGAGCTCCCGTTTAGCTCTTGCAAGTAGCCTCAATCTAAGATGTTTAAAATAAATATTGTAAATGTTAAATACGTTCAAATGTATATTTACAAAGAGCAACCCCTATAGTTTCTTGCTTATTCTTCTTAGATGACAATATCAAGTTTAATTTGCTTACCTATCAAATAAAGGATGATTTCAATTTAACCGGAGCCCGTAACAACGGAAACCTGTTTAACTGTCTCCGTGGCCGAACTGTTACAATGCTGGACTGACACTCAGAGGTCCCAGGTTCGATTCCCGGGCCGGGAGAAATATTTGTATGGCCTACTTTTATTTCTGTCGTAAGTTTGGGTGTCATTTGTGGTTGTCTGTGTGTGTGTGCATGGTACCCGCGATACAGGGTGTCCCTAGTTGTGGGGCTATGTTGAATGTGTGCGTTATTTATGCTGTATAACGCTTTTGTACGTTTTAGATTGGAATACTATTCGGTGGTCTGCGATCCCTGGGAAAAAAATATGAACTTTTGCTGGATACGGAGGCAGTTCTGTAGGTATCTCTGTAAGAGAGAGTACGGGTACTATCCTCTACTGTAATACATTACAGTAAGATTCTTATAAGTGACATAGTTAGCCCAGTAGTACTTCAGTCAGTTCGTTTGTGCCTCAAAATGATACGCGATTAGGTATTCGACGCCGACTTCGACTGTTTACGTACCCAGACGGTGTTCGCACGAACCACGCCTGCTACTCCCCCATGCCACGGGCTCTTGCCTTGCTCAATACTCTCCTGAACGAGGTCCGTGATGCCGATGTGCTCACCGACAAGTCACCGAAACTAATATACATAATTTTGTCGTTTTTTTTAATAACTACTTGACATGATCATAGAGTAACTTAACATTATTTATTGATTATTTCATTGTTTTATTTTCTTTCTGTCTTATTGTTTATAATTTTATGTATTGACTTGTACTTATGACTAGCACTGTGAGTGCTTTGGGTGACACTGTAAACTCTAAATGTATATTTATAAATAAATAAAGTATATTATTAATACAAAGATCGAACACTCAGAAAAAACACTCAGAAAAAATTCCTTCGATCCGGTTGGATTCGAATCGACGTCTTCTTGCATACCGTGCCAGACGCTATACCAACTAAGCCACGGAACGAACCAACGGACCTCACGAATTTTTCTATGTGCTTGCGTCGTGTCTTTGTACTTGGTCTTTGAACGACTTTTTAGTCGTAGCGCCATCTATGAGAAATCTATTGCAGATTTATCACCCAGTTAGTACCTTTACAGCTACCAGTCCTGGCGAGAGATGTCGCTATTCACTTTTTTTTTCTGAGTGTTCGATCTTTGTATTAATAATTATAACAAACTAGTGGAGTAATTTCACAAAAAATAATTGAATATCAATTCAATAAAAAATTAATTTATATTATTATTATTAACTCTGCGACCTCTTTGGAACTCTTTGGTTTCGTTCAGTAGTCAAATGGAGTCGACTCCGTTCATTACCCTTTCGTTGCTGAAGGCGAGCACAGGAGTGGGCATTAGGCCGTAGTCTACCATTCTGGTCTAATACAGGCTTGATAATACTACAGCATTGTTTGTCTCCACAGGTATCTGCGATCCTACGCGACGGGCAACGTCGTCTACATCCGTCAGTGCGCAAGCTTCTTGGCAAACAGACGGTGGACTTGGATGAGATCCTGTTTCGCAGTAGAGCGCCAAGGAACAAGATACGTAGGGATTATTCGGTATGTGTATAGTCTTTTTTGAAGATGGAGTAAAATGACAGTCCATTGCACAAAAGTGTTGCCCGCGTGCAAGAAACTAGTGATTGCAGTAGATAAAATATTCTATCGATTATCGACTGTCATATATTATGTATAGTAATTGTATGGTATTTTATTTCTTTTGGAATCAATTATTTCTATTTGTTACGCAGATATTAATATATAATATAAATGACTTTTTTCTTGTGGCAACCCAGTGGAATGTATATTTGTCAATTTTTTGAATTGAACCACTGCAAACTTTTGTAAATTGGTTCTAATCTTGGTGTTGCATAATACATAGTATAATAATAAATAAATAATTAAATCTTTATTTCTTAAAAACATGGTATCTTAAACAATAGTGGCTGGAGCTTTCTTTTAAGCAAAGCCTGTGTCAGGAAGCACCGCTCTTCGTTCGCTACACGCATTAAATTACATAAACTAACTAATCATCAGTACAATCATTACAACAAATTTAGGTAGTTTGAGACTAAGTATTTTTTGATCGTCTGGCACATTATTCCGATAAATTAGTGTTGTTTTTTGTCAAAATAACCAAGTGTATCTGGAAGCTAAAACTTAAAAACATTTGCTATATTTCGCTAGATACCTCCCATTCCTTTCTACATAAGTTTTGATTGTAGTGACCCTCCCTACCGACCCTTCAGGTATACGACTATAGCCGGGGCTCCGTCACTCGCTGAAGGTACGATAAGTGCTTACCGCTGATTGCGCCTACGTCGGCGCTAACTCTCATACAAATCTTTCATTTATGAGCATTCGGTTCCGCACGACTGCACACGGCGGGCAACGTTATTTTCACCTCCTTTTTTCTCGTGAGTGTCTGGTGTCATTAGTCAGATTTAGTAGGCTATTACAGCATAGGTATTTTCGATTTTGTATGAGAGTCATGTGCTTGTTACGTAGTAACTATTAAGCGATCTGTGCTATAGCCTGTGCAAGCACGGACCTTCTTATTCAGGTCCTGACCCCAGATGGGCCTGTTTGCACGGACTTCAGGCAGTTTTCATAAGGCTAGTGTCGCGGGTGGCTGCCCCGGGTGCACGTACAGCACTCTCCTTATTTTCCAGATAGGTACCGGAGTATAGAGTTAACGAGGCAAGTTTATTTCTCTCCAGGCGATGCTCCAAACTCGCAACTACACGATAGCGGCGGACGCGACGAAGTCGCTCCGCCCGGACAAGGACGGGCCCGACGCGGCGCCCGAGGAGCCCGGCTCGAGCAAGCCGAAGAAGGTTCCCCGCCACCTGGACCCCAAGGCCGCGAACGTGGTCACGCTGGACAAGGCCACTCGGAACCAGACCAAGTACCGCTACCGCATCATCGTGGGCAACACGTCGAAGTACGCGCCGCCCGCGTCCCGCGCGGACCGCTCGACGCACAAGTGGCTGCTGTACGTGCGCGGGCCGCCGGCGCAGCCCGACGTGTCGCGCGTCGTGTCGGCCGTCACCGTGCGCCTGCACCACTCCTACGCGCCGCACCACACCGTGCACATCGAGTGAGTGCACCCCTTACTCTCCTGACAACTGTTTTACACGGACACGTGCACGCGGCTCAAGTGCACGAATGTTTTTCAATCCGCGGAGAGATCACGTGCGCCCTTGCAACTAAAGGCGACAGTGTAGTAGTGTGTTTAGCACCCAATTTATCCCTTATTGTAAGTACATAAATGCTTTTCTAATATTTATAATTTTGTAATCATAGCATCAAATTAGATCAATATTAAAATGTAATAGAATAATTTATTTCATAATTATCAATGCCGTGCACGGTACTGTCACGAGGGGTATAGCTCTAATGCATTGCGAGAGGTACTTCTATAAATTCAAACTGTAATAATCTTTAAGATATTTGGTTTATTTCACTTTTTTACATAATTTTAGTATTGCGTTACAAATCAATCTCTCTGTCTGTCAAGATCTTCTGTTTTCTTACTTATTTCATTTCTTCGAAAGCATTCTAAATACGAACTAACTCATTCAGCCAGAGATTCTACTCATAGAGTACAGCCTAGTCTACAGTACTACAGTTTAAATTGCAATGACTAATATGATAAATATATGCAAAATATTGTCAAAGTACAATGCTGTCTAATAAAAATAAAATTAATTATACAATTTCTTTGAACGGTATTCCCATATTACTTCGCTACAAGCTCATCTTCTATGTGATATTTTTTAACCGAATTCAACCGATCTGTACGTATTCTTCTCTCTTTTCAACTAATAGAGAGGGAAAGAGATAACAAAGTTTTAAGATCTATTAATGTCCAGAAGAATTTGATAATTTTTTAACTTATCAATCTGTAAATATTTATGTCTCTCTTTGACCATTAGAGAAAGAAAGAGATGACAACATTTTAAGGTCTGTTAAATCCATACAATTTGGACAGGGTTTTTGACGGTTTATGTTTATGGACAATACCTACCGATAATACTGTCCAAATGACACTGGAGACCTGGACCTCGATTCAGAACTCTTCGATATTTTAACCGAATCTTTCGATTGGATGTCGTTCTCGAATCGAAAGGCGCTTTCCGAGCTATTCAGAACATTCCGAGTTAAACGATCGATATCGTTATCCAACAGCGTTTACGGAGTTAGTAAAATATTAAGAAAAATAAGAAAAATTAAAATCCTTCTATATATACATTTTTAAGACTTCAAAGGCCTAAAATATATGAATGCATTAGTCTTGCATTAAAATACATTAATAAAATTGAACAAAAGCCAGACTTTATTTCAAATAATAAGAGATTTCCATATTGCATTCTTGTTTTGTGAACAATAGGACGTTTGGTAATATTTTATTCGATAACCAGTGTTCTGAATAACGTTTGTAGCCTTTGCCGGTCGAGAAGTTCGAGTAATCGTACGGGTGTGAGGTCATTTAGGTTCGGTTTCGAATACGACAGTTTGAGTACGATTCGGGTGTTGTGAATAAAAATGAAAAGAAATCGGTCGGCAACTGAGTTATCGTAAGCTTCTGAATCGACCTGCTGGTCTAATGGTAAAATGTTTGTTCATAGCAAACCTCCATTCCATATATCCCGCCGCGGCTGGGGTGAGTTCCCTGCGCGGGTGGAGCTTCACTTCACGCTGCCGGAACGCAACCGCCCCGCTAACATAGAACACACCATCAAGCTTGACAGGAATTACACCGGTTTGCAAACGTTGGGTAAGAAGTGATTTAAATTTTTTTTTAAATAGCCTTACTATAGTTTTTTTTATTAATAATTTTGGCTTGGATACAAGCCTTTGAGCCATGTCTTCGTTTAATTATGTTTCTGTAAATATGGCTGCCACAAAGAGGATAGGCAATTTGAGGCGGCGGCGTGCTTGGATTGACTCGGGATTCCTTAAAACGGGCCGATACGGGTATTTTAGTTCGAGATTCGTATAATTTCGCGTTTTAATCTTCGATTAAGGCACAATAGCACTATCCTATTCCACTTTAAACTAGATTTCACAAAATAAAAACGACACTTTTCCCTCCAAAAGGCCCAGAGCGAATCCTTTACTTAAAGTTCTAAAGCAATCACTCAATATATCGAATAAGTAACACTTTCACGTGTATTTCGAAGATTTCGACTTGATATATCACTTTTTCCAACAATATTCATTTGAATAGCATCGTAAAATAGTATTTGAAAAATGGTAGTCCAAAAGTGAGGCTGTTATTCCTCTATACTTCTATGACTTGCCTATGGTTGCATTGTGCTGTTCGAAAAAAAAAACATTCGGTTCAATCAATTAAAGTTTAGTAATCGATTATTAAATCGAACATTTCAATCGCAATCGAACGAGTATCTAAGTGTAAGGATTTGAAGGAGGATTTAAATTGAAATTTTAAATATGCTCATATACCTATATGTAAGGAAAACTGTTAGTATGACTCAATTGAACAAATCTATTCATTCAATTAATTAATCGATTTGTAGTTGGCGTTACAATTGGCCATCACTAAACCGCCTATGGTCAAGTCAGTGACTTGATTGTTTACTTTTTAGAAATTATAGGATTTTCATTCTATAAAGAATACCCAATGTATCTGTGCACTGGGAGAACTCAATATTGAATCATGGAATGGAGTAGTTCTGTATAATAAATAAGAACTGTACACTAAAGATTATTAATTATTATACAGCTTCTACATACTAGGATGACATAAACGACAGTACCGTAGTAGTGACACGTTTAGCTCTTGCTGGTTGTCTTGATCTGATATTTGAAATAAATATTAGTAATAATAATAAAAAGGCACACACCCTACAGGGAAACCCTGCAAGACACAATCATAAATTACACTCAAACTCACGAGAATCGAACCTGAGACCTATGCGTGGCAGTCCGGCATGGTAACCGTTCGGCCACAGAGGCAGTTAAAGTATTTTAAATCGATTGAGAGAGAGAGAGAGAGAGAGAGAGAGTCTTAATTGTTTACATGATACTTTTAAGTTATACGCTCGTAATGTTAAATAATTTGATTTTTTCTACATTTTAGGCGCTGAAACAATAATCGACGTATGGCTATACAGTACCCAAGATATGTTACAATATGAATACAAAGAGGACTTTGAAATTGAACATAAAATCGAATCCGAAACAGTCGTATCGAAGCTGGAACCCATGGAAACTGTGCCTGAGGAACAGACAGACAGACAGGACAACTGGCTGGATTTCTTCTCCAATACAACGGAATTGGATGTCGATGAAATGATTATCAAACCAGAGAAGAAAACTGAAGAAAGAAACGATGTGGAGAATTTGATAGAACCTAGCATAATACCTAAACAAGACGTGGATGGAAATCATATAGATCCTAAAGACATGAAAGTAATACGAGAAAATGATATAAGTAATCATACTGAGAACGAAGAAGTGACGAATTGTAAAAGTTTTGAAAACCATGAGGATTTACCCAACGAGTTGTTAACTCAACCGACATCACCCAAAAAACGAATCATGAAGTATATGGACCCGACAACGGGCAAAATATATTACTTAGAAATGGATAGAAACTTAGATTTAAGTAAAGTACAAGAAATTGTCATAAATTCGCAAGGAAAAGTGAAAACTGCAAAAATAAGCCCAATCAAACCAAACGGTTTGAAAAACGTTAGGAAAAACTCTAAGAAACCTGGCATGTCGTTGTTGAAACCTGAAGTTAAAAGTTTGCTTAAGAATGAGAATTTAAATCAAAAAAAATCTATATTAAAAAAAAATTATACACATATAGAGAATGATCACTGTTATTTGGGCACGAACTGGGCGAAAAATCTGTCATTTAATTCAAATGTAACGGAATTAGTGTTGCCAGATCATAGTGAAGTAACAGAAAATGTTGCCCATGAAGAAATTGTAATAAAAAAAGAAAAAAGTTTATACGAATGCCTGTGTAGTGCGATGACTCGGTTTACAAGTGTAAAAGTAGCCGTGAATTACCTGTTAAAGAAAATACCTGTTATTTGTGGCGATGCTAGGGATCCTGATTATTTGAAATATTTCCCCTTTTCTGTGGATAGTGAAGAGAGGTATTGGAAAATGGATTTTGCAAAACGGCGGAACATAGAGGTAAGTCGGATCTCACCCTTCGGACAACACCCTTTCATCTACAATTATATAACTACACAACTCTTTACTCATGAACTTACAAATTTCTCCTTTCTTACCAATTACCTTGTCCACGTTTTATACGTTACTCTCTTATACAGTTAATATTATAACTGCATGCCTTACATTCTGACACTATATTGATTCTCTATTCTGAATTTCTAGACTTATGGTCTGGAGTGTGGACCCGCAAAACCTAGCATTTTTCTTTATCATTACCATTGTACCTATGTCATATGCTTGTTTGTAACGTTTTATATTCTATTTATCTATCTATCTACATAGCTTAAACTGTATTTCCAACAAACCGGCTTCACAATCTTTTATAAAAGCATTGTAAGAGAATGTGTCCTCTTCATCAAAAATGGACTCAAACTCAAAATTTTGATGGAATATAGATATTTACATACTTAGACTCAGGATTTAATGTTTCTATGTTGTGATAAATAATACATTTTCGGTAAAATACGCCCATTAGAGTTGGAAGGAATGACGTAAGCTGGTTTTACTGATGAAACAAGAAACGCAGTAAGTAGCGACATCTGGCGGACCATATCTATACATTACAGTACAGCGTGCCATATCGTATTGACATTGGTACGCCGATTCTTAGAAAACTTAGCATCGTGGTCACATGACGTCATTTTGTTATTTATTCAAAATAGAGAAACGACACGCCTGTATACAGATGTTGGAATACCACTCGCAACTTGAAATCGCAAAGACTTGAGGGACATTGCCACTGTGCCCGTCACCCTGAGACATAAGTTGACAAGTTCCACGTGCCTGTAATTTCACCAACACCCTATACCCTTGAAAACCGAAACGCAGTAATGCTCTCATTACTAGTTGGCGGCAAAAATATGTAAGATGGCTGTCTTATAAGAAGTGCAACTAAAATACATCGTGTACTATCCTCTTTTTCTTCGGAAATGTACTTTCCTGATGGGTGTTTGAATTGCAAACCTCGTCCAAATCTTAACACACACATAGTACATTTGTTTTTATTATTATTATTTTGTTAATACACTAGCAGCTCTACGACCTGATGCGTGTGTATCACTGCACTTGTATATTGTTAGTTTTCAAAATGTTTGTCAAGTCTAGCTTTGAAACTATTCACTGTAGGAGCACTAATTACTATTTCTGGTAGCGAATTCCATAAGTTCGTAACGCGAAGTATCAAGGAATGTTTTCTGGGGTTATAAAATAAAAAATAAAGTGCAGTTGTGATTCTTTAGGTGTTGAGTATTTTATACTCACTATGAGACCCATTGAGTATTTTATAAGTTTAATTCGTTGTTCCAAAGTACTCAATGTTGGTTCTTGGAATGTGGCGTTCTTCGTAAGATTTGTTTTTTAAGACTGAACCATATCTGTTGCTCTCCTTTGGACCAACTCCAACAGAAGAAAGTCTTTTTTAAAATAGGGACACCAAATTTGAAAACCATATTCCAGCAATGGACATATATAGGTTTTGTATATTTGGATAAATAACTCCTTGGTAATACTGTGAAATGCTTTTCTAATCATGTACATCATAGAATTAGCTTATGATGTGTATGTCCCATTTAAGGAAATGGGTTATTGTAACGCCAATGTCATTTTGTGCATTAATCGCCTGAAGAGGTATGTTAGTAACAAAGGCTTTTTTGTCTTTTCCAGTGGTCCCGAGCTAAATTAATAAACAAACTCCTCACTGAACACTTTGTTCATGAGACTATATGGAGGACGAAGCAGATTCTAATTTACTCTCGTCTTCATGGATTCTATCCGGTCCGTACGGAAACCATACAGAACATCAAATCAAACGACACAGATTGGTCATCATGGACAGATTTAGAGAACTCTAGAATATCAGAGAGTAATATAAAAGAACTTTATCCAAATGCTGAAGATATATCTAGTCTAACGATATTCAACTCTGAAGAATTTCTTCAAAATGTAATGGACACTTCGGATATATCCGATGATGAGGAAGTGGAAATAGTGACAACTGTGCCAGAAGCAGTGAAAAATGAGTGTAGTGATACGCATAGTGATTTAACAGTGTTGCCAGTGGAGAATGATGAAGATAGACTCAGGTTTTTGTTTGTGGAGAAGAAGTGTGCCGATATTGGTATAGAGTTACGGAATGAGGATGTTGGCAGTGGATATTCATATAGGTGAGTTTTATATTTAACTGTATGGTGTAATATTAGATCCGCATATTTCAGCTGGTATTTGTACACATTAAACAAACTCATGACATGAGCCCGTAATGGAATATTGCACCAAAGTCAGAGATGGTTTGGAGTCCCTTAGTTTACAGAGAGATGTTGGCTCCCTTTGTGTGTACTATCGGCTTTATAACGGGGAGTGCTCAAAGGAACTGTGTGACTGCTTCATTTCCACTATCGCATCTCCAAAGGAGTAGAGTCCATCCCCACGTCCTTGATGCTTGGCATCCTAAGGATGTTACCACACCAATCGTTCAATAGTTGATCGATACCATCAAGTGATGGTTGATCGACAGTTGTTGTACACACGAACCGGTCGACGTCGATCCGTAGCTCGAGGTACTAGCCTCTTGAGAACTGGATGAAGTCAGTGACAATGGTCTGTGACAACCCTATATACTGGCTAATCTGTGCAAGGTTCCTATGCATGCACAGGTTATAGTGCCCTTTTCGTATACCCTAAGGGTTGTTAGGGAGTGTCACTGTAATCAAAATTAATGTAGTAAGATATGGGGCTGACCATCGAATGATTGGTGTAGTAACACCCTAAGACCATGCGGGCAACACTTTCGTTCCAGCAAAATGTGGATTAGTCTCCCTCCTGAAGTATTGTACTATGACATGGAATCCTTCGACGAAAAGCGATTCAACATGGCTCTCAAAGGCAGGCAATGCATAAGCATCTCTGATGGTGTATTATGTCCATGGGCAGTGACTTATCTGCTTGTTAACCTCCTAGTTTACACTGTATCAGATAGCGTTTTTTCTTTAAAAACATCTCAAACACCAACTGAAACTTTGTTCCTCGCTATAGCTTAGAGATGTATGTAATTAATTAAAAGTAAACAAACTTCAGCAGTGACTTGGTTAAACGGTCAAATACAATATTTAGTACTGAGTTTCAAACGTCGTATTACTTCTGTACTCTTTAATTTGGTTATGCTATCATCTTTTTAAAGGTTTGGATTTTAGGTTTATTTTTTTAGGTTTTTTATCATGTGAAAGTTGTTATACATGTTATTTTATTAAACACCTTTAATTAAATATTATAATTATACTCATATTTATAGTTATTACTATTTTAAATAGGCACGTCAAAATGTTGTCTATTACCTGAAAATATAATCATATATTTAGGGCCGTTACATCATGCTCCTACTGGTAGAACCAAAAGCATAGTTGTTCTTGATATCCGTCTTCACAATGTTTGCTACTTACAAGGTTTAAAACTATAGTAAAAGAAAAACTTTATACTTTGGATGACAAAATCCAAGGTAGTCCGTTTAGCTATTTCAAGTTGTTTCAGTATGTACATTTAAATTACTGTATTAATTTTAAAGAACAACCTCTAGAGATTCTTGATCAATCTTTTCCGGGGAATCTGCCTAACGAAAGAGCGCAAAGTGACGATTTCAAGTGTAATTTTCTTTTTACCCCTGAAATAAAGATATTTTTGACTTGTTTTTTCATATTTTTTTTATTTTAGTTCAGTGTACTTACGACGTCACGATAGGAGCATATTAGTCATCTTGCTCTGACATGACATCTTGCTGACATCTTGCTGGAACATATTAGTCCTCTTGCTCCTACCAGCAGGAGCACCCAGTAGGAGCGTGAGGAAATGGCCATATTTAGAACCATTTTCAAAAAGTTCATTGTAATTTTACATTATACACATAAGTAACCAGGTAATGCCTCAGAAAGTACTTCATTATTGTTTGCTACATTTAGTTAAATAAACCTTTGTAGTATTATAGTTCATGATATGAAATTTTACTGTGCTTTCAAACAGGAACACTCTCTACTACTATTATGTCAAAAATTTTCATATTTTCACTTTCGCCTTCAAAGAAGGAGGGTCGCATTCGATTGCATTTTTTTTGTCTATGTTACTCCGACGTCGACGTTCTTTTTTTTGTTGGAAAGGGGGTACCGCAGTAGTGGTTTCATTCAATAAAATAAACACATCTACTTAGAATAATAATGCATAGAATGATAGTTGCGTATCAAACGAACTGTCACAAGTGAGGCAAAAATCAAATTCACGTAGGCTAGTTTTAGTAGTAGGTTAATTTTCGGTTTTAGTGAATATTTATATAAAAATACAAGTTGAAACGCGTTACTTCCTTGTGGAATGTGATGTTAGTATCTATTTTATGTTTGTCTGACGTATTTTTACACTCGTTTACCGCACATTTCGTCATTTTTAGCTAAAATTCTTGATCTGTCCGCGGTGCAAGTTGACCTTGAGCACTGGCGGCCCGCCCGCTCGTGTAGGCCCTTTGGGAGCGCTTCAATTTGCCTCACTTAGCGTGTGCGGACAGGTTTCTATGCGTTATTATTCTAAGCACATCTATTGATTGTTCAAGACAGCTTGGTAAATAATAATTCATAATTCATTTAATCATTGCATGTGGTTTCACTGAGGTGTTAACAATTAAAATATTACAACACATGAACCCTGTAAGGGCACTAATGATTTTACCTTAATTACACTGCATGCTGTGTCATTCAATAATTCTATTCCTATACGCTAAATACAATATAAAAATCCAAATCTCAATAATTAAAATCATAAATGGTACAAATATAGTAAACTTAATTTGTTATATAATGCAATTCATAATTCATTCATTAATTTGATAAAACAATGAAAATATAAAAAGTGAATAATCTTAACCATGTCTTAAATTATTATTATGTCAAAAACGTGCTAAAGACAATTAATGATTTGTTAATAAGGAGTTGATAATGGAAGTCAGTCGTTATTAAAATATTATGTCATGCCATGTCAAATTGTAGTTTTTGTTTAAGTAGTCATTGAAAAATCATTCAAATTTTGATCATTCAAAAATTCATAAATTGTATAATAGGTTTTTTGTATTAGCAAATGTTTTAGTTTTTTTATAAAGGATGCTGTGTTTTGTTCTATTTTGATATTTTCCGGTATTTTGTTAAATATTTTAATTGACATAGCTAGGGGGCCGGATCCATACATTTCCATTTTGGATTTTGGCAATAGAGCCTTGAATTTTGTCAATTTACTATCGTTTTGTTTTACTACAAGAAAAATTATGAACACATTCCAGTGCCGTACATGCTGTTCTGCTATCAGCAATGAAAAACTTCGCAGAAGACTTGATACGAAGCGCGTTGGCTTCGAAGCTGCAAGACGCGAGGTCTGCAGAACAGTTACCTCCCGTTTGGATCGGGTAAGCTATATAGTCGGAAAGCATATCGCACATGACAACTAACGTAGTATTATCTCAAAAGGGCTTTAATTTATATTAATATTACCTATTTAGTTTCAAAGCGACTATGTTGTTCTATCACTTTGATTACTAAATCGTATATGAATAACATATGAATATAACGTAATTTTGAGATAAAAATATATAATATAACGCATTTTTGAGATAATACTACGTGATTTGTCAAGGGCGATGTGATGTTTCGCATTTTGTGCGCTATAACCCAGGGCCCCAAATCTTTGAAACTCTAGAAAACTAAGATTGTATTGCAATAGTGATAATATTTGTAATTCTGCTAAAAATCTTGCAATAGCAGTTAAGTCAAAATAGAGTGGAATGGTAGGGATGCATTAATTCATTCAATCACTAACGATCCATGTTGCCTTACCGAAACTACCACGGAAATTGCATCGAGTTCGTGCCGCGACCGGAATGAATGAATGCCATCATTCATTAATTCAATCACTAACGATCGAAGTTGCCTGCAATGTTACCTTTTCAAATGAAATTAAATGTTACATCAAAGTGGGCAATAATTACGACTATTAGAAAGTAGCCGCTTGCCAAAACCGTATATCGTGATGTAAGTGACAGGCGTGACAAAACACGGTGATTTGTCGCTGTGATTTTTTTTGTAACTGTAATGATAGTCGCGGTGATAGTAATGTAACGCTCTTCTCACATGTTTAACCCAGACCCGAGACAATATAGAAAAGTTAGTTTTTTACATTGACCCAGGCATGGATTTAACCCGGAGCCTCAGATGTGGCGACTCCATGAAAACAGGTGTGCATCGAGTATATAACCAGCAATAGAGACGAAATAAAAGCCATGCTTCCCTGTCAACTCATCAGTCACATGGTACTGATATCACTATTAAATATCAACTCTCGTTTGCGCTACAATCACAAATTAGAAAAGTGAAATAGTACAGCGCCAACAACTGACCTGTGTGTACGTCTCCGTATATTCCAAAAATATTCTGTATTTATTATAATAAAGATAATATCTCTAACAATGGGACGCTATTCTACTCGGTGGTGTGGGAAAAACAGCAAAACATCTAATTACAAAACAAACGGAATCACATTTCATCGGTAATTAAATATTAAATATGTAATTTTGCAATTGTCGTCCATTATAGCAAAGCTCCTGTTAAACTGGTCGATTTGAAGTGAAACAATTGACGACACCCGTCAATTGTTTCGAATTCGGGCTGGCCAAGCGGATCGCATTTGTCACCGTAATGATTTGGCAGAATAGTTTTCAAACAAATTAAATAACATTTTGTCTCTATTTCTGGTTATTTACTCAATGAACGGTGTGCAAGCCACTGCAGAACACCAAACGTGCAAAATCTCCCATTGACACTACCGACACACAACTGAGAATGATTTGAAATTAACAGACTTGGAGCCCTGAACTTCCATTCAGAGGGCATTCGTACTCCACAGTGAACCGTACAGGATTGTTGGGGTAATTTAGATGCTTGTCTTTTCAGGTCGTCATCATCCCGCAGTGTGGTTTCCTTAGAACACGTCTACCGCGGTGCACAGAGCTCTCGATTACAAGTGTTATCATCTAAAAACATCGCCACGACACGAGTTCATACATATTACATCTAATACAATTACTAATTGACATTTTGAGCATTTTATTTTATTTTCATTCCTTAACTTAATAGTCAGTGATCGGAATTGAGGGTGTTAATTTACCTAAACTATGAACATTTTCTTAGTATGGACATACTCATTTCGTCATCATATTTATAAAAAAATATTTTTTATTGTTTATTTTCTAAACATCTCAAAGTATGGGTAGTCTCATGTTTATTATAGAAATGGTCATAGTATTTAAATACACAAGTGCCTATGGAAACACAACTACAATATTAATTTTTGAGAGAATAATTGCAGGAAATAATTCATAGAAAATAATAAAATTTGTCACCAATGTATTCAAAAGAAGATGGCGAAAGCTGACCCAATAATTATAAATACAACGAAGAGCCGTTCACGGACGTTGTTAGTATAATTTTACGTTTTAGTTTATGCCTAGTTAAGAGTATATTTTTAGAAGTCTGGAATAAAGACATTGTAAAACAATTTATTTTAGAATAAATGCAAGAACACAACGCAATTGATTCAGTTTAAGATAATAGATTATGTAATGTTCTTGTACGTACGGATCATTTTAAGCATAATTGAACACACAAAACATTATAGCTATAAAATACCTAATCAAATAATCAAGGTATAAAGTAAACAATAAAACACAATGAAAATATTCAAATGAGAGATAAGAAAGCTGAGGATGAATAAAATAAAGTTAGCAAAGGAACGTTTTGATTAGAGGCCTCTTGTCAATGTCGCATCAATTGAGAACAGTGTGACCATTTGTGTCGAAACTGACACTGGCCCAAGCCTAATGGCCGCCCATAAGGAAATAATAATAGAAATAGACCATTTTTATTAATTTTCATTGCCGCATCGGCAAACCATGCTAACGTTTTATGTAACAGAGTTTGGCAGATTTGGGAATATTCAATAAGTTCTTTATTATTTTTGGGAACAAACTGAAAACTTGTAGTTTTCTACTGCTGCGAATAAACATCTGAAGCGAAATACGAGACAATGCAATAAAGATAACCTATATCAACTTTATAACCCCAGCTTCTACAGGCTGTACTCAATTAGGTTTTTTGATGCTATGATAATGAATCATAAGTATCGATAGGTCTCTTTAATGCACGTTGTCAAAAACACTGGGTCACAAAAACACGGGATGCCGCTATCCGTCTTTCAATAAATATGCATATTCAAATAATATAATCAGTTCCGAGAGAAATAGAAAGTAATGAACTACCTCCGTGGCCGAACGGTTACCATGCCGGACTGCCATGCAGAGGTCCCAGGTTCGATTCCCGGGCCGGGAGAAATATTTGTATGGCCTACATTCATTTGTCTCGTGAGTTTGGGCGTAATTTGTAATTGTCTATTTGTGTGTCCATGGCACCCGCGACACAGGGTTTCCCTAGTGCGGGGCTATGTCGAGTGTGTGCGTTATTATTAAAGGAATATCCACATTATTCTTTAGTTTATCTAAAATTAACTGCCTCATTTTCCATTACTGCTGATATGATTCACTCTTTCAAGTTAACCATATAATAAAAGAAAAATCACACTTGTGCCAAGCCAATTACGCAAAAAGATTAGAGATCAGTATCAGATTCTTTTTTATAAATTTAATTATAACCTTTGTTTTATAGTTTGAGCTAGAGTGTACTTTATTATTAAAGTCAAGCAAATTTGCCTACAGGGTGTTAATTACAAACAATTCTTATTGCTGACATCAGTATGACATGCTATTATGACCACCAATAAACGGTAGGTATATTTGGAGGAATGCTGAAAAAAATTTAATTAGGAATGGTTTTTTTATTAAACCATGTGACGGGACGAAGAACTCGTGCATCTGGTGGTAACCGACACGCCTGTCCAGTTGCAGTGTCACTCAGAGCTTTAAGATCGCACAGATCAAGTAGATGTCGATAGAAAAATCACATTTTGTAATATGTGTGTTGTTTATAACAAACATCTATTTACTTCATTATTATGTGCCTAGTAACAAACATCCAATTACCGTGTCTCAAAATGACGGCGTCCTATTTTTCAAGTGTCAGTGCGGCCAGTATTTTTACAACTGAAGTGGGGACAACTGTATACAACTGTGTTCACAAATCCTGATGGATCTACTTGTGTTAAGCAATGGAAACATGGGTATTTGACAATCCTATTGGACCCACTAGTGGAACTAAGCAGTCCTAAACGAAAGTAACAAATTCCCTGTAGGTACAGTGAGTACCAGAGCAGCACTCACTCCGGGGCACTCGACCAGAACACCAGGACCAATTTAGAAGTGTTCCAAATTAATCGTACCGGGAATCGAACCAGTTGTAAAGGTTAGGACATCGAGGTCGTCATTATTAGATTTCCACTGAACTGTTTATCGAATTAATTATTTTTCTTAGAAGAAACGAGAGAGCTTTTTTGGACAACTAAATTAATAACTCCAATTCCTCGTCGTTCGGAAATTAATCGCTAGATGGCAGTACATTGATTGAAATTTCAATATATCAAAACGCAACTTTCAATAATATAGGTATTGTTGATATTGAATTTTCAACGATATGCCAACAGGGCAAAGTTAGAATTATATTAACAATCCAGAATTTATAGTGTTACGAATGTAATGTGAGTTTTGGCGACATCGGTTCTCATAGTAATCAAGGTTTAAGGCATTTTTGTTTTTTTTCCTTCCGTGCTAAAATTATAAAGAATAACTTTTGTTAATTCATCAGAATTTACTTTCATATTAAAATAAATGCGATTTAAATAGATCGCTCTAAACGGTAATAACTCTGTGCAGCACGGGACTCTTGCACGTTTGAACTTATTTTACCAAATACACATCTAAAAAGTGTCAGATAATACAAGAAAAACTTTTTATTGTCGGTCATGTTTTGCAAAATGTTTTGAAACAATTATACGGGATAATATGGGTTATAACAAAAAAATAAAACATCCTAAACATTACTGCACTTTTAATCTTAAGTAAGCACAGCTAACAAGATCTAGGTCACAACAAATAACACTTAGCAAATACTATACAGCTCTTAAAACACACTATATCTAAAAGTTACAGCATTCTTAATAACAACTAAGTTTTATAAACAATATATAAAGATACTTTTCACAGGGCTAGAGTTCCGTAGGTGTTGTCAGTGTACAAATAATCTGAAGTATCAAAGTAACCCAAAATATTCACACGTTCAAAGTGATCAAAAATGCAATCGGCTTAAGGTTGAATTTTGTCCACAGATTGTAATGAACATGTGGGTAAAATTCACCATTTGGATGAGATATTTTAGGTTAATATGACCGTTAAGAGCGTTTTGATGATTACTGTACCGAGAATAATAGATTTGTGATGAATTAGTTGATCGAGAAGAAAGATTAGTGTGCTTGGGTTATACCTGCTTTATATTTTTTGTTAATTTATTATTTATTTGTAGGAGAAACATATAACAATCTCTTGTCCATGCTGATAATTTTATTGGGTCTAATGTTATTGGACCCAATCGATAAGAAACTTGATGCTATTTAAATAATCTCGTAATTCCATGATGGTAATTTTATTGGAACTAATATTATTGGACCGAAACAATAAGGTCCTTGATGCTATTATTAATAACTGTTATTTAATCAATCTCAACTTCCAAAATGGTAATTATATTGGACCTTACAATATTGGATCGAAACAATAGGGTCCTTGATGTTATTAATCTATCTCTAGTTCCATGATGATAATTTTATTGGACCTAACATTATTGGACAGAACAATAAGGTCCTTGATGTTATTATCAATAACTGTTACTTTTTATATCTATTCATTTATAATTTATTAGATCCAACCAATAAGGTCCTTGATTTTATTGACACAACCGAAAAGGTCCTTAGGAACTAATATAATTGGACAAAACGAGATGGTTTTAATGGTGTTATTATTTTTTGGACTTAACTTTATTGGACACGAATAAAAAATTTTGCAATTTGTTGTTATCGCGCATTACCCAAACACCATAGAAATGTATATGCATATAAAAAGAAATTTGTCCATCTTGAGTAGCTTACTTTTGCGTACGTTATAACGTAATGTTCTGGATAACTAGCAAAAATTAAACAAATCACCGAAAGCTATTGTTTTTAAAAAAAGTCCATTTGAATCTACGGAACTCATATATAATTTCTGAAAGCACAAACAATTTCAAAATTAACAGAACGAAAGCGTATTTTAGGTCAAAATCCTATATTTTTTCTTGGCAAGCTAACAGAGAATATTTGTTGACATTTAAGTTTGTAGTTTATTAACGCTAAATACTCACCTATTTAAATGTAGTGCTTAATTTGTAATATTAAAGGTATAATCATTTTGTTGACAGCACGTTTATTTTCGGCATCTGTACTTCAGATACTGTCTGTTAACTTGTCAAGAACTGTGGTAATGCCGTGCTAACTCTAACACAAGTTAGTGTCCATTTTCAATGCAACTGGACGGTTTAAATACCGATGTCTTGATTGGCGCTTTACATTTTGACAGCTTAAGTTAAGTAGCTGTGTGGGTTTTGGACTTTGTTGAGGGGTGCCTCTAGGCATAAGCTGTGCCAACTTGTTCTAAGCAGTTGTAAGACCATCTTCGGCACTAATCTTCGTTGATAGTTGTGTTGCTCAAGTTGAAGTCAATGGGGGGAAGTGGTGGAGGTAGTTTTTCCAAATTCTTCATCTTCCACTTCTCAAACTTATTTTCTTGAAAATCTTCAACTAAAAATAACCGTACATTACAATAGTGAATTAATTAAAAAAGAATATTTTTTTAGAATCGATGAAAAACGGTTTACTCAATCCCTGTGAAAGGGCATTGTTATGTATGTACAATTTAAAATTTATTAACAAAGACATTAAACAATTTCCTACTTGCCAAATATATCTAACAATAAAAGAGAAAAAAATATTTCCTAATTTTGAGTAAAAGGACCGTTTCAAATAGTAGCACTGGAGCTCTGCTGATGAAATTACAGGCACCCGGACTTGTCAACTTATGTCACAGGGTGACGGGCGCAGTGGCAGTGCCCCTCAGATCTTTGCGATTTAAAGATCTGAGTGGCACTGCAACTGTTATGGACAGGCGTGTAGTTTACCACCAGGAGCACGAATTGTTCGTCCCGTCACTTGATAATATAAAAAAAATAATACGATTCACAAGTATGTATTTAGATTTAAAAAAATAAGTACTTCAACAAAACTGTACTTATCTAATCTAAAAACGTTAAGTAAACCAGCAAGAATGTCTTGAATAAAAATATATTTTTTATTTGAATTTGTTTGAATCAACAACAGTGTAGTAACTAGAAATACAACAAGTTTATCTTTTGTTTAAAATCATTTATACCCATTGACTTACAAATAAATGGACGACGGGTCTAATACAAAAACCACGAAAAAAATGTCCCAAGTAAACCTATTTAAACGTAGTGACATGTAAAGGAATATGAAAAAGCTAAAACGTTGAATTTAAATTGTAATGTCATCGCAGTACTGTCTAATTTTGCTTGCTTCGCTGTCAGTCGAACAAACGAAGACTAAAGCGTGAATGACGCTCTGTATACGATTTTAACGCCCTATAAGTTCGGACACTTTTTAGCGCGGACCCGACGTCCATATAATTGTAAGTCAATGTCTATACCGCTGTAATTCGAAACAGTGCAGTAGAAAAAGCAATGCTCCTCCTCGCTTGTCGAATTCCGATCACAACCCATAATGCAATATTGGATTTCACAGAAGTCAGCAAACCACTAACAGTGACTTCCGGTGACATCAGCTGTTTCTTACAATATCCTAAAGACGGGTTTCAAATGAAATTTTACGTTCAGAAATTTAATTTCAGATATTTTGAGTTACGAGACTATTGTAATAACGGTACGTATGTTGTAAGAGTCAGCTAAGTTACGACTTAATATATTTTGTATTGATACTTGTATTTCAGGATACACAAAGTGTTTTTATTGAAAACCTATCATCATCATCCACAACCCATTTATACGCCTTATTGCTGAACACGAGTTTACTCTCTGGCGAGGGTTTTAGGCCATAGCCCACCACGCTGGCCCAATGAAGGTTGGGAGCTTTACTCGTTTTCAGAGGGTTGTGATCTTCGATATGTAGGTTTGATCACTGTGACTTGGTTTCTGTAGGCTTACCAGTAGCACGTGAAGAGGACGAACGCCTGAAGAACTTGGCCAGGATGACAGCCGATGGCGACAATGGATGGCTCTTGTTCGATTGCGCTTGCGACGAGTTGCTGCGTTTCTTCGATCCTGTCGTTATTAAAAGTTTGTTCACGTTTTTTTCAAAGCGACCAAGAAATGATTACAACATTAAGTTCAATTGTCACTTCAGCTTTTGATTTTGATTGCCTCCCTCGATCGGAAACTGCCTCTTTTCCGAGTCGAGGCGCATAATTGCGACTTTTGACATTTCTAACTCACAAATTAGAAAGATATAGCAGGAATCAGGTTCATCTTCTCGCTCAGAAAACCATCTGATTTCCAGACTACCCGATCGATTCCGATTTGAATGAAAATCAGGACGAAGCTCGTCTTATTGACCGACTTCAAAAAACGCAGGAAGTTCTCAATTGGACGTTTTTCTGTGTATGTTACGCGATAACTCTTTAAATTTGTGAACCGATTTTGATGTTTCTTTTTTTTATTGGAAAAAGGGTACCTCAGACAGTGGCAGATTTGCCCTAAGGCCACCCTAGGTCCGGGCCTAGGGCGACCCGATTGTAGGGGCGGCCAATCGTGACAAAAAATTCACTGATGAGAACAAGAAATAACTCAAAGTCCCTAAATATTTTAAAGGCTCACGCACATTATAGCGGGCCGCACTCCACCGCATCGTACAACAATAATCTTCCTAAATCACTTACGTACATTGTACTTATAAAATATAGATATGTCTACCAGTAGGTACATGAGTGCTGACAAAGGGGCGGCTGGTACTGACTACATTGCCTGGGGCCTAGGGCAGCCATGACTGCAAATCCACCACTGACCTGATGTGGTCCCATTTACGTTTGAAGAAAATATTCCACCCCTGAAGATGGCAAACTAGGGGATGAATGATTTATGATGTCGGTTTTTTAGTACTCTGTACTGTTTTGTTATTATATTTGGGGATCGACACGTGTGATCCTTAGACTTATGACATATTTCAATGCGATTTTCAAGCAAATCTATTAAATAGAAAGGCAAATCGAATCATCTAGATCAAATGGCAATAAACAAACATTTTGTAATAAATATCATTCAATGTGCCGTTGGCGTTTCGAACATTCGGCAAGAATTGCCGTTACGGTCAATGGATTACGCTATCGAGATATGTTAACAACTCAATTTTGGCCTATTATTGATGATACGGATATCACTTACTTGTTTCAACAAGACGGTGCCACAAGTCACACAGCCACCGAAACAATGAATTTATTGCAAACCAAATTTCCCGATCGCATAATTTCACGAAATTCAGCCGTTAAGTGGTCAGCTCGAACATGTGATTTAACACCGCAGGATTATTTTCTATGGGGTTATGTTAAAGACAGAGTCTATACGGAGCCTATCCAATTGATTGCAGCCTTACAACTCAAAATTCGTGAAGAGATTAACGAAATAGACCCACCGTTTTGTCGTTAAAAAAAGTGATTAAAAACTTTGATGAAAGAATCGACATTTGTAACTGTGGTCGTGGTGGACATTTATGAGATATCATTTTTCATTCATAATTGCCAAACCTTACTTTTTTTAATGCAATAAAAATTAGAATCATTGTCATCTAAATTTATTGTTTTATTTTCATTTACAAAACAAAGTTCTTGTTGAAAACTCATCTCTTTTGTTCATTGACTTACAATTATATGGACGTCGGGTCCGCGCTAAAAAGTGTCCGAACTTATATATTTTTTTTAATTATTTATTTATTTATTTATTTCAGGCAACTAGGACCCATAGATACATACCTTACAGACTAACGTACATATAATATAACAATAATATAATAAAACAATAACAGAAATATTAAATAAATACCTTACGGACTAATCATAAATACAATATAACATGATAATATACATATAACACTATTTATTTACACGTATGTACTTCGACGTGTGACGCAACGTGTGTGTCCGGTAGCCGTCCTCGGAAACGCCGGTACATGACACCCTTCGGCCAAAAGTCTTCTCTCATGAAGGTCGACAGGTGTTGAGTTGGTGCTCGCACCACAAATGAATTAAAATTCACATTGTGGCGCGACTCCAACCGCTCGACCCTCAGGTTTGCGTTGGCCTTCACTCGCATGTACTCCACAATATCCGCAGACTTGGTGGAGTAATGAAGACGTGACACGTATAACAACGTCGTCGGTACCGCTGGACGCAATAAATGATTCGGACCAGTCAGGTCGGTGCCACTAAGGTTTCGGCTGGTGTTCTTCTTTTTCTTTTCCACCTTCCGAAAGCCGTCCTCGTCGCACTGATCAACTCGTCTCGGTGGTACTGACGACGCAGCTCCAGATACGAGTTTCTTTTTCGATTTTCCCTTCATTGGTTGCCTGGGTTGTGGTTGTGGAGTACTAGGTCGGGCAGCGGCAACAGCTGCGTAATCACGTGGAGGGGTCGTCTCCGGCGGGGCGGGGTGCGGGGAAACGCGCGCGGCAACAGCGCGAGAGGTCGGTGACACATGCATGTGAGCCGACTCAAAACTGCTGAAAGAAGCATTTTGCGCCCCGCGACAAGTGTTCACGTTGCAGGCCTCAGGTGACCTACTTACCGATGCCGCACTACTAAGTAATACAACTTGGGCACGCAACTCACTGATGGTGTTGTCTGAGGCCTCCAATTTACACTGAACATCAGCAAGGCTTGCTTTTAGGGACGTGATGTCCTTCAGCAGCCTGGTGACGTCGACGTGGTCGAACGTGACAGGGGGCAGCTTATGCAGCTCCTTCGTCACGAATGCAGGCACGTCGTCTGGGTCGGTCTCCTTGAACAACGTAATGATGTCCTGGAGACTCTTCGCTCCTCCATCTCTCCGACGAGACGGCATCTGCTCGGCTTTGCCAAACGTCCGGAAAAGCAGCGCCTTGCCACTGCAAATCTCTTCTTCTTTGAAATTTGACTTGCAGATCTGCACGATGCTGACTTCGTCCATGGTATCTATGGCGTGTTGTATAAACGCCAACAGTTCGTTGGCTATGAGTTGCTGAGAACCCATAGTCAATTACGTGCAGCGGCTATTGCCGCGCGGGTCGCGAATTATTATAATTCTTATTGTGCAGTGGAGCACGTCCGAATCCGAGCGTGCACCGCACCGCACTGATTCGGATGTGCGTATAGGGCGTTAAAATCGTATACAGAGCGTCATTCGCGCTTTAGTCTTCGTTTGTTCGACTGACATCGAAGCAAGCAAAATTAGACAGTACTGCGATGACACTACAATTTAAATTCAACGTTTTAGCTTATTCATATTCCTTTACAAGTCACTACGTTTATATAGGTTGACTTGGGACATTTTTTTCGTGGTTTTTGTATTAGACCCGTCGTCCATTTATTTGTAATTCAATGATTTAGTTATAAATATTTTTTGCTTTCAATTTTAATATTAATGGAGCCGTTAATGGGTTTCGGCCCGGTTTAAACTCAGCGTTAACAAAGCGCCAAGTTAAATGCTATGCAGCACTTTCTTGCTGAACTGTCTTTGTAGTGATCTTATTTTTTTTAATTTATGTTTGTGTATTTACATTATTATATTCGGTGTTTATAATACCCATATACCTGTGCAAATGTTGGTATTTTTATATTTTTATCTCTGTTATATTTTTCCCTCTTTCTCTTTTGCACACTGTTGCCCGCTTATGACCTTTGTTCTCATTGCGTTGGTTTTTTATTATTGATTTTTATGTTGCATGTGTTTTTGGGGGCAATAAATAATATATAATAAAAAATTATTTTAAATTACCTCTTTTAACCGCCATCGTCCATCGGCTCTCGATATCGTGCAACATGGTATGTCTGACTGAGGGCGTTCGGCATCCTGTCATATGTGCCGTAAGAGCGCATACAGCACAAATGAGACAGGCAGACAGAACACCCAATGCTGCAATAGTGTAGCCGCATGGAGGGTACCACCACCACTGTTTAAGAGGAGAACTGGATTTTGTAACATAAGTATTAACAGATTATTTGATATTTAATTCGGGACTTAATCATGTTTAGAACATATTTTAATTACCTCGACGTTTCGTTGACAAAAACTGCCCTCTGATGCTGGTTTCGTTTATGAAAATAAATAGTGCCAACTTTTACCACTTAATACAGAAAATCTGGTATTCATCCACTATAATTTGCCTTTATTGAAATTTGAGTAGGTATTAAATTTACAGATAACGTTATCTAACAAGTAATGAACGGATTGTCAACGATCGTGTAGTTGCTATTTATCCCATTCATCGAGTATATAACCAGAAATAGATACGAAATGTCATTTCATTTTTTTTTGAAAACTATTCTGCCTTGTCATTACTGTGACAACAGCGCTCCGATTGCCGATAAAGCCGTTATAGTTTCCTGCGCACCGCGACGGCTACGAGTGTGCATTGTGAAAACGGAAAAGCCCCCCACCACCTGGTTTCATCATACCTGAAGAGCAACTACCACCAGGTTGCGATCTGCGGTGGCCCGTGTGGAAGTCCTTAAATCGACTTCGCACTCAGGTAGGACGCTGCATAGACACGCTGTGTAAATGGGCTTTCAGGGATGCTAGTCTAATCCAATGTGACTGCGGTGCCCCAATAAAGTCCATGCAGCACTTACTCTTGTGTCCTAATACCTATACGAGGGAAGATCTCTACGCGACCATGGATAGCGCAGTCAAGGTAGCAACGTACTATACGGAGTCAATATAGTCCTAACAAAAAAGAAGAATCGACACGACAATAAGAAGATTTACTAGAAGGAACTTAGACGGTGTTTATATGTACGTACATCGTACCTGCGCATGCGGCGCAGCGAGATTCGGCATCGGTCGGCGCCCGGCTCCGACGTCGTGCCGGGTGGGCACGAGTAGCACGTGTTGTCGCCGGCCAAGGAGTAGGTGTCCGATGGGCAGGATACTGGAACGGATAGACCTCCTTGTGAGAGTTCGTCTAGGGAAGTACTGCCACCTTCCTTACCCATTTCTGCCGTCAAGTAGTTATGTCACAGATTACTAAGTAACAGATACATCACTTTATTTACGCTATAATAGCCTACTAAATCTGACTAATGACACCAGGAGTTCACTACGAGGAAAAAGGCAGCTAAGTACGAGCTCAGAGAGGTGAAAATAACGTTGCCCGCCCTGTGCCATCGTGCGGAGCCCAATGCACATAAATGAAAGATTTGTATGAGTATATGAGCGGTAGGCACTTATCGCATATAACCTTGACCGAGTGATGGAGCCCTGGTACTGGTAACTCCGCGAATATTGCCTATTTCTGCTGCCAAGCAATAATGTGAGCATTACAGCTTTCCGGGTTAGACGGGTAAGGGGTGCTGATGAAAATACAGGTGCAGTGGGAGTGTCTATCACATCCTTGCCGCTTAAAGCTTTGAGCACTGCAACTGCTATAGATATACGTGTCGCTTAACACCAGGTGCACTTGTTTGTCCCGTCATTTGCTATCATAAAAGAATCAATAGTCAAACTAACCACAAATCTTTTCATTGGGCAACAAATAAAACCCGGACGGACAGGAGACGACGATGTCGATATTGCCCGGGTGCATGTTTGACGCCAGTTGGTGGAAATTGTGGTTGGGTGCCTGGTCTGGAACAGAGGAGCTGAATGTGACGACAAGGTCATTGACTCTGGCAAACACACATACTTACACAATACTTTCAGATCTGGATCAATGTGATTACATAGAGCAGATTTTACTAGTGATGATGCCGATGGTGATATGTATGACAATATCGATAGTGGTGTACCCGTAAATATAACACACTAATGCTTCCGCTACCTTACCAATTTTTACCAAGCATTACTATATTCCGGATTAAAGAGTAAATGTGTTGGTGAAACTTGTTTTTAACAAACATACTCATAGCCTCGCACTATTTTATTTATTTTTCATTTTATTTTATTTATTTTATTTATTTATTTATTTCAGGCAACTAGGACCCATAGATACATACCTTACAGACTAATATACATATACTATAACAATAATATAACAGAAATATTAAATAAATACCTTACGGACTAATCATGAATACAATATAACATGATAATATACATATAACACTATTTATTTACACGTATGTACTTCGACGTGTGACGCAACGTGGGTGTCCGGTAGCCGTCCTCGGAAACGCCGTACATGACACCCTTTGGCCAAAAGTCTTCTCTCATGAAGGTCGACAGGTGTTGAGTTGGTACTCGCACCACAAATGAATTAAAATTCACATTGTCTATGGACAGCCTGTATCGCGGGTGCCTTGGATACACACATAGACAATCACAAATTACACTCATCTCACGAGATAAACGTAGGTCAATAATCAAATAATCATTTATTCCATAGGTAAAATGTTTACACTTGAAAACGTAATTTTTTAAGCTACTGCTCGTTCATTACGCTTACCTCCCTGAGAAGAACGAGCAAGAAACTCTAGGGGTCTAGACTCACGTTATTTTCTCTGCACATCTTTATCTAACACGTAGTCTACAATTTTGTAATATGACTTTACAATTAAAATACTTTTAATGTAAGTTTTAAACATAGGAAATGAAAATCTTAATATATTCTCCAGAATCTTATTGTAAGAACTTATACAGTTCTCCATAAAATAATCGTTTACCTTAGTTAAACGAAATCGTGATACCATGAGTTTGGGCTTAGTTTTAAGGTTAATATTATGGATATCTTCTTTCTTAATGAAATTATGTATATTTTAACGGGCATATAAAATATTTGACTAAATCTACTGTGATGTCATGTCATGATACCAGCCTCCTTAAACTTTTGTCTGAAAGAAACCCGAGAACCTACCGAGAATACCGTAGGACATTTATACTATGGAAATAACTAAAGTAAACTAGTGTAGCAGTAGCAACAACGGTAAGTTCATGCATTCTACGGACTGCGTATGCAGCGGAGCTTAATCTGCTGGCCAGGGAAGATATATGTGGAAACCATTGGAGTTTACTATCCATAGAAATATTTCTACGATTTGTTTGACGTATTTGATATACGTATTTGACGACCTCCTTGGTCGAGGGGCTTTCATGGTGTCGCCATCTCTGAGGGTTGCCGGGTCAATGTAGTAAAGCTTTTCTATATTGTCTCGGGTTTGGGTGTTTGTGGTACCGTCGTTTTTTCCGATTCCATAATCCAAGTGCTTTACTTTGGGTTCGGAGCAACATATGTGACGTTGTCTAATATTTATATTTATTTTGTTTTCTTGGCCCGGGAATCGAACCAGGGACCTTTGCATGGCAGACATCCTGGTCTGCGTTCGGCCACGGAAGCAGTTAAACCTATGGGCACATGGGACTTGTCAACAGCATGTCTCAGGATGACGGGCGCAGTGGCAGTGCCTCGTAGCTCTTTGCGATGTAAAGCTCATACACTGCCGTAGGTGGTATCCCATGAGGCGTACGACTTGTTCGTCTCGTACCAATTTTTTGTCGCTAAATCTTTCATACATACCTTTTTTCCTTAATGTGTGTGTGACGATAAGAGACCGAGGGTTCCTCGTTGAGGGTGTCAGGCTCACGTTTCCGCCATTCCTCGATATTAGAACTATAAATAGTAAACACCAAATATTAACACCTACTAGTTTCCTTGACAGGCGTTTTACAAAAGAGACCAAAGATGTTTTGCGTTGTGACACTTTTCACCATTTTGCTGAGCTGCTGACCTTTATAGCTCTCACCGCTATTGTCTTTTAAACTCTACGAGAAATGTAATTGCCGCCTCCAGACTCCATGATTAACCAGCAGTCTGACTGGCCACAACGACAGATTCACTAGACTGACAGGAATTCAAAAGACCGACTTTCTGTTGGACAAAAGACGACAATCGATTTTCTTTTTGACAAAAGCAGACGACTCCACTTGACTAAATTTATATAGATAGACCGTACAGAATTTATATTTATTAGTGTACTGGAATAAATAAACGATTTTAATTTTATTACCTGGTACAGAAGCCAAAGCAGGTGCATTAGCAGCGCACAATAAGGCGAATGAACTTTGCAAGTCTCGCCTGCACTTTGGGCTGCATCGTACGTCAGGTATCACGCATGATGTCTGGATTGCCGTAGCTCTGAGTTGGGTGGTATCGTCCCACTGGAAAATGAGGTACCAGGAGCTCAGGTACTGTTATCTTTATGTAGTCTTTTGTATTCTTTGCGATGGGCAAAAACTCTTCAAGATCAATCAGTTAATTAATTATTTTAGTGGCAGGTTGTTTGTTAATTAAGAGTTTAAAGGTGCTAACAGATTGACTGCACGTTTGCAATAAACGCGTGAAGCCATTATCAACTTCATGTTTTGTTGCAAACAGACCGAGACCTCGTGTAGTCAATCTATTAGGAGCCTTTAGGGTTCAGGGATTTGAATTTCTAAATTGCGTGAAGAAGAACAGGTGATGATTCCTGTCCAGTAGTGGGACAGGTTGACGATGACGACGAAGTGAATTTATTCATGGCCTCTTTCTTATATGACGGCCATTAAATCAGTTAACAAGTTGTACTCTTGGAGTAATAACGTCACATGTGATCATCAAGGTGTTAAAACCATCAAATATTAATTAATTACCGATTCGAATTCCGGATTTCCGGAAATGCATTTACTGCATCTTAGGAGAAAACTGTTGAACTAGGAAGTCGAAGTTGCATTTTACAGTAATTCTAATGGTGAAAACTGTTGAACTAGGAAGTCGAAGTTGCATTTTACAGTAATTCTAATGGTGAAAACTGTTGAACTAGGAAGTCGAAGTTGCATTTTACAGTAATTCTAATGGTGTCATGTAGAAAATGCAGTAGATTACTGACCTTTTACTAAAACAGACAATGAAAAAGCGACGAGAATCGTCACATTGACGGAACGGCGACATTGTAAAACTTAAGAAAAAAAATTCATTTTAAATTTCATTTACGTGGGGAATTTTAGGACACTGCTAAACGTTTAAACAAGACGAAAAAGTAGTATTTTTGACGGCCTTACCCAAGTACGGATCTTCGTAAATAAAATAAAGACAGGAGTTTCATTCATCCGTAAATCCGGAATTCGAAAAAAGCACTTCATTAATATTTGGTGGTTTAACGACTCAATGTCGCTCTTTGTATATCTATATATATATCTATATATGTAGAACACCTTTTCCCGACCATTGGTGATCATAATGTGAAAGTGCTGTTATCACATGGATGCCATTGAATAATATGAATTACATGAAACAAATAGTAGAATACGAAATTGAATTTTATGCAGAGAATTTTTAAACCTATCTCCTGAAAAGTTGTAATATTGTAGGTGTGGGTTTATCAGACCAAGGGCGCAAAGAGTACCTTGTCCTGCAAGCAAAAAGTCTCATCAATAGCCACAGAATTGTGCTCTCTACACAAGCATGCTTGCCTCGACATCAACGGACCAAGATGTTGAAGGGCTTTTAGATCCTGGAACAAGAATGTCATCAACACACAGTGTAGACAGGTATTAACTTCATCTTTAATTCATGACGTGTTACAACGGAGCGGTACGAATAAGAATGTTTTTTTGCTCTTCGCGCTGCTTTGGTTAATATGGCTTAAAGTCCGTAGATAGTTCTTAAAAATCCCACTAGATCGCGAATGGGCTTAAAACTTATCTTTAGTTTAACTTTGGGCATGCTCTGTGTGTTGTGGAACGAGATCTGTACGTACTGTGATCTCCAACGCACCTACCAAGCGTTGTGATTATGGCACAACCACCACTTTTCAAAAGTTCTATGGTTGTTCATGGACAATAATATCCTATCTTAAATTATAAAAGATAATTGAAACTAACGTCATAAGTGCAGCTGTTGTTGGAAGTGTACATTGGGATAAAAATTACATCAAAAACCGGTAAAGTGATGATGGACAACGTCACTATCTTGTGGATAGATGGGCCCTGGAAAAACAATTATAACTGAGAATCAAAAAATACCTTTATTGTGCAGGCCACGAGGTTTTCAGCATGATTTTCAGAACAAAGGTTCCAAACGATGATCTAATTAAGGTAACTTTGGTTGTTAGTCGTTTATGTAGGTACTGTTAAATGTGTTGATATTAAATTGGAGAGGTTTCTTATCTATAGCATATTCAATGAGCTGTAGTGTAACCTTACCATACTACAAGAATAGTTTCCAGTATTTCTGGACTGCAAATTCTGGATTGTAACCGTAGGTCCATCCACCACAACATTATCGTATTTTAACATCATATTTCTGTCTGTCTTCCAAATAATTTGCTTGTCGAAAATTGGACTACGACTTTGTGTACGGTGGTTGCAGTCGATAATTACGGTATCGTATTTCATTGCGTATAATTCATTCTGAAATTTAGTTCGTTCTGAAATTTGGATCCGTATCAAAGTGATTAAGAAGTAACAGTAAAATTCAAAAGGCAAAGATGTATTTAGGAGTTAAGCACCAGTGACGTACTCGTATATCGCCTTGGTAAATTTCTTTTCAGGGTTCGATGGAACTAACCACTACAGTAGAGACAAGCTGGAAAAAACTTAAGATTAGCGTCCATGGCGATGATGGGTTTCATGAGATCTACTTCAACTTCGACCCTTGATGCGTTTCTGGACCTAACCTAGCTACTATTGTTCATCAGGCGTGAAGCGGCGACAATACGTTTAGATTGGTCTAGCTTATGAAGATAATTGAGGGTGCTAAGTATAGAAATCTTCAAGATTGTACAGGAGAAACTGCTACTGGAGGCGGCTATGAATAGGAACCCAATCAACCAAATGTGTCAATAAGAAATACAAAATATAATTGTTGAAAGATGCCGTTGGAAGATGCCAATGGAAGACAGAACACTAGAATGTTTATATATTTCTGACGAGTCTGTGACAAAGTCAGAAGATACTGGGTTAATTTCGGAAAATGACTGGGTGCTGTAAATTTATAATTTATTTAAACAAATTTCTACCTTACCCTGGCCGGTTTTAAAGGTGGTAAATTTGTCAACTCCGAAGTCAATTCTCTCATGTCAGTAGGAGTTCTTTTTATCCTCTTTTTCCTTTTAAAAACATTGTCCTTTCCTTTATACATTTTTTCAAAATACTCATCATTAGATTGTATGCCTGGACCCTCAAATTCCTTGTCATTATCGAAATACTGTTCCTTTACAGCAATTGATAGGAGAGACCGTTTATTTCGAATCCAATCCCATTTCACGGCCTCAGGTATAGTATCATCTATACCTTTAGGCTTTCGATTTTGTTTCTTATCCCTTTGCCCCCATGTCTCAATATAGAAGTACATAGGAAGTCTTTTAAAATAGATACAACTTAAATTTTGGATTTCTCTCTCGAATTTCCTCTTTGGCAGAGTTTGTCGTAGGTATAGGATGTGATTCAACATCGCATGGATATCACAAATGCACGAATCAGATTTGGAGTCACAGGCCTCTTGAAACAAATGAAGTGTGTTAATTTATAAACTAAGCAAAGAGAGGAGTTTCTGACAGAGAGAGTTTCGGTGGTGTGGGAAAAACAGCAAAACTTCTAATTACGAAACAAACGGAATCACACTTCATCGGTAATTAAATATTGAATATGTAATTTTCCAATTTTCGTCCATTATAGCAAAGCTCAAGTTAATTGGTCGAATTGAAGTGAAACAATTGACGACACCCGTCAATAGTTCCGAATTCGGGCTGGCCAATCGGAGCGCAGTTGCCACCGAAATGATTTGCACAATAATTTTCAAACAAATTTAATGACATTTCGTCTATATTTCTGGTTATATACTCGATGATCCCTTGCAACAGCCAGAGAACATGATGAGCAATCTTGTATGACAAATTTAGCGAAAACGTTATTGTAGGAAAAAAAAACTTTAAAGAAACCCGGGGAAGTGCAAGATCAAAACTACTGGCCTACCAGTTAACTGAGTCGGTTCCTGAGGTAGTGGGAGGGTGGGAGGTGCGCGGTGTGGGAGGAACAGGCGACTTGATCAACTTGTTATTGGTACTTTTTTCATTTAACAGCCTCACCTTTCTGTTTTGGTATTCTCAAAGCTTGCATTGTCCGTATTTTTTTTTCTGTTTTCTTTTTCTGCATTTTCTTCTTTTTTTTCATTTTCTTCTCTGTCTTAGTGACATCATCCTTTCCATTACTTCTTGTCACTAAAATAGTATATGGAAATACAGTCAAACTGTTTTCAGTAGATACTGGTGAAGGCTTTAGTTCTGTGACATTTACGGTCATCGCGTTGAGTTGTGCATTAAGTTTTAATGGGCATTTCTGAAATATTAAACAAAAACTGATGATCCTGTAGGGACGCTTAACAGCGTGAACGTGTGCTTTTAATACAGGCCGCTCGAACTAGATTACTAGCAGAGCTCCTCACCATTCGCTTTATCAGTGAGACAATATTTATTTCAAACACCTTAGATTGAAACAACCTGCAAGAGCTAAACGGGTCCACCAACCACGGATTCTTGTCATCCAAGTACGCAGTACTTACGTGTGGCGCACTATAAGTTTCCGGAATGAATAACAAAATAACCTAACCTCAGTACAGTAAAAAAACCGACCTCAAAAGTCATTCATCCCTTAGTTTACCACCAGTAGAGGTCGAATATTTTCTTAAAATTTAAATGGCACCACTTCTGTGGTACCCTATTTCCAACAAAAAAAGAATGATCAAAATCGGTTCACAAAGGGCGGAGTTATCGCGTAACATACATACAAAAAAAACGTACGGTCGAATTGAGAACCTCCTCCTTTTTATAAAGTCAGTTAAAAATACTATAAATGGTCAGAAATGAATTTGTTGTTTCTCAAAATATTCTCTGTAAGCGTTAATGCACTTTTTCATACGAATGAAACAATTTTGAAAACATTTATGCCACTCCTCCGTGACAATCTCTGAAACATATTTTTCATACTCTTCGACAGCCCCTTCAGGTGACGAAAATTGTTGACCGCGTAACTGGTTCTTAATTTTTGGATATAAATAAAAGTCACAAGGTGCCAGGTCGGGACTGTACGCGGGATGGTTCACAAGGTCAACGTTGTTCACCTTCAAAAATTCATTTGTCTGTCTGGGGGTGTGAGAACTGGCATTATCGTGGTGCAAGATGATACGGTGTTTACGATTATTTTTACGGAGTTTGTCAATAAGTTCCAGCAAACAAATGGTCGTGTACCAATCACTATTCACGGTACAATGATTCTCCAAAGCAACAGTAGCCACGTGTCCAGTTTTATTAAAAAAAGAAGCAATCATCCGCTTAGAGCCACTTTCCATGCGCGCCAATTTGTTTGGTTTCGGCTCATCTCGAAAGCACCATAAGCTCGATTGCTGCTTTGTTTTAGGATCGTAACTATAAATCCATGTTTCGTCACCTGTTACTATGTCCCACACCAAATTTGACGCCCCTTTGTTGAATCTGGTAAGCATGGCGTTGCACCAAGTGACGCGATCCGTTTTTTGAGCCTCAGTCAAATTGTGTGGGATCCACCGAGAGCACAGCTTTTTCACACCCAAATGTTTGTGTAGTATTGACTGTATTTGACTCATGCCTATGTCACATGCTGTGTCTGTTTTGATCGATGCACAGCACAGCGTCGATGTTTTTGTTGTTCACAGCAGTGGACGGGCGACCTTCACGAAATTCGTCACTGAGATTCACACGACCGCATTTGAATTCTGCAAACTAGCTATAAATAGTCGTCTTGCATGGTGCTTCATCGCCAAAAGCAGTTTGAAGCCGAGCGAAGCTCCGCTGAGCTGTTACATTACACTTAAAGTCGTAGAAAATCAAACTACGAAAATTTTCACGAGTTAAATCCATGGTGATGAAGACAACCAATTTCTAAAATGACGCCACAATGTAAAAACAAGTGACAGTCAGATGAAACAAACCGTATACTACAGCCAAAGAGTTTCATTTTCAAATGTTGTAATTACTTTTCAAATATTGTTTATGTAAGTGGCCAGTTCCGGAAACTTATAGTACGCCCAATCTATATTTAATACCTATATTTTAAAGCATTACCTTTAAACTAGTTGTATGTGCGGCATTGATGCCATTGATCGATTGAATCGAAGAAGTAGTAAATTCAGGGGTTTTTATAAATTTACGGTGTTGTAGTGCTGGAGAGTAAATTTTTTCTGTTGTCCTTTTCGTGGGTTCTGTTACTGTGGTGTAATCCTGATATTTGGGGTCTGCAAGCATAGGGATCACAGATGCGGGACCTAAAACAATTGACAGCCTAATTATGTTGTCCTACACAGATATTGAAGATACGTTTTGGCATTGAACATTCGAAATAGGGTATCACCAAACATAATAATATTTATGATAGTCTAAGTGTGGAACATTTAATATTTGGGGGAAAGAATTTGCCAAGAGTTTTACATATTTTATTTAACTTATGTATTGGTCATGGATGTGTGCCGCCGGAAGTTATTCGTACAGTGGTTGTACCAATTGTAAAAATACGATTGGTGACATATCTTCGACTAGAAATTACAGACCCACATCATTGACAACTGCTGTAGCAAAGGTTTTGGATGGTATTCTGAACATGCGTCTGCAAATATGTTTAAGTCTGGATGATGGCCAGATTGGTTTTCGGCCACGTTTGTCAACGGAGTTGGCAATTTTGAGTTTAAAACACACAGTGTCTTACTACACTGAACGGAAGGCAAATGTATACGCATGCTTTTTAGATCTTTCCAAGGCATTTGACCTGGTTAATTACAATCTGTTGCGGAAGAAATTAGAGGGATTGGGGATGTCTAGGGAGTACATTAACTTGTTTAAATTTTGGCATAATAATCAAAGTAACACTGTAAAATGGTCAAATGTATGTTCCGATGAGTATGTACCAAGTTGTGAAGTTAGACAGGGTGATTTAAGCTCTCCCAGTTTGTTTAGCCTCTATATTAACGGACTCATTGAAGAGCTGAGCAGCAGTCATATTGGCTGTCATATTGGACGAAAAAGTGTCAATAATACTGTATTTCGAAAGAAAACCCATACAGATAGGTATTTACATACAGGTAGGTTAGCTACCGTGGGCAAATCTTTGTTTCAGAGAGCACCATGGTGTCTGCGACAGTAATCATCTGGCAGGGGAACTTCAGCATATAAAGCAAGTCCTACATGCGAATAAGTTGAAGATTCCACGCCAATACCGCAGGCCCCGTGTGAACCATCAACAGTCGAGCGAAGACCTGCCATTAAACCTTACGTCAGAGGTGTTTCTGACAAGATCGGAAGAGTCTCCAGGCGTGCTTCTATCAAGACCTATTTCAAGCCCCTGAGGAAGATTTCTCAGTTCCTGAGACCCGTGAAATGTAACATCCCCTTACAGGATGCAGGAGTTTACAAGCTTGACTGTGAGTGCGGTCTCTCTTATATTGGACAAACAAAGCGAAGTATTTGTATCCGCGTCAAAGAACATATAGCTGATGTCAAACACCGTCGCGTAAACAAGTCTGCAGTCTGCGAGCATGTCATGGATAAACCTACACATTCAATGAAGTTTGACAAACCCCAGGTCCTTGCAAAAGAAGTCCGTTATCTGCCCAGGATGCTGCGAGAGGCCATTGAAATTAAAAAACATCCTAATTTCAACAGGAAGATGGTTTCTCCGTACCACCAGTTTGGGATCCAGTATTTCCTATGTTTATATGAAAATCCCAAACAGACATAAGACTGCAGTAATAATTAATATGTTTTAGTTTATTCTAATTTATATTAATTATTAATATAATAAATTGAACTTAATAAAAATTCATTCAATAAAATAATTTGTAAAACTTAATGTAGCGTAAATTGGAATGTTTTCTTTGTAAAATTAAAAATGAGGCATTTAATTAATAACTATTGTAACTATAGTGAAAAAATAGGGTGGTTTGCATCAATATTAGACATACTGGTTGAAGACTGTACCACCTCAGTCAACCGTGACCATGGGACCTGTAAAGGGCCCGAAACGCGTCGGTTTGTTTGAAAAAACAAATATACGCGATTTAAATCCGGAAAAATAGTTTCATTTCCTATAGTAATATAAAATTGTGAAAATCAATAATATTAAGTAAACATTTATATGAAAAAAAAAGTACAAAATTCTTGCTTTTTCAAAGAAAATATGGTTTCGACAGGTTTTTCCGAATGCGGTGGAGGCTTTTCTGAATTCGGTGGCATAAAATACACCGAATCCATGGCCACGGGATTCAGAATATATATATATTTTTTTATATTATTCGTAAATGACAATACTTGTAAAACCAATAAATTGTTATTATATTTTAGTCGTCACAACAAATAGTATAAAAAATATTGCACACAACCATAAAATTTAAAATTTCGTTTTTGAAATATCGTACACACCGAATTAAAAAATCAACGTGGACAAAATCCACTGAATAACCTATTTACACGCAAAAACTCCTAAAATCGGCAACAAATCGCACCCCTCATGGAAGAATGACATAAGTAAAATTACGTCAAACACGTTTTTTGCCTATTAGATAAAGCAAAATATAATTGACATCTTTTGGAATTGGATAGGATGTAGGTTATATTTTTCTGTATCTGATGTACAGTTGGAGAGGATGTGGGTTATATTTTTCTGTATCTAATCGAGCAATAAACATGTTTGACATAATTCCACTTATGCCATCATTTCACGAGACGTGCGAAATCATCCACCAGTTCTTTCCAGCTGCAGGGGCGTGATGGACGAATATTACGAACGAATTGTGAAACTTCTAAAATGCTTCACTTCTGATGTGTAGCGTGAATAGTAACCACCGAATTCCTGCGTAAGCTTGGGATACGCAGCAATCTTGGTATTGTGATAAAACTATTGTCTAGTTTTTGTGAAATTCAGATTAGAAGTACTGTCATCTAATATATTATATGTGAACTAAAGTCTAGTTCAATTTTGAGAAAAATGACACTTTGTGCTGCATTCAGGACACGCATCCGTTGTCAGGTTTTAGACCTTTCGGATTTTTTTCCATTAGGTCCGAAAGGATTATTGGGAACATTTTGTGCTCTCCAGAGTTAGCTTTCGACCTCTATATCTATAATACACTTTTTTTGTAGACTTTTGTTTTGATAAATAAGTGGAGTTTAGTGCATGGACACAGAAAATTGCGGCTTTGGAGAAATGCCCTTATATGACGCATATGACGGACACTCGATATATAAACTAGATAGGCGGGGGACTGGCGAATGCTTTCCTACATTCGTTCTACACAAACGGACATGAAATAAAGGACGCGGCTGTCGAGGCGGACGTGGGGGTACTCGCAAACTAAATTTATTGAGAATAGACGGGCAGTCTATCATGCCGTTCATAATTTTATGTAAGAAACATAAGCCTAAAGTATTTCTCCTACCATTCAAAGTTTGCATGCCAAAGTGCTCAAGTCGGGCACTGTAACAGTTTACGTCACGAGGCGGCCTGAAGCGGTATGCCAGGGGTCGTAGAAACCTTCTTTGGACTCTTTCAATTCTCTCAACATGGACTCGATATGTCGGGGACCACACAACGCTACAGTACTCAAGTTTACTTCTGACTGATAGTGCCCGGCACTCACTGATACGATGGGCAGAGCTGAGGCGTGGGAAATGCTACAATTGCATCGGCCGGAGAGTATTGTGTAATTGTGTAGTGTGCCTACAATCGTGGCCATTCTTTGGATAAATTTGTGAGGTCATACCTCAACATTTTAGTACTGGGTGATACTAAAATAAAAAAGATGTACGATATATTTAATCAACGATCATACTAATGAAATTTGTCTAGTGACAAAAAATCAGCCTGTGTACATATCGCACCCCTCATGGAAGAATGGCATAAGTGGAGTTTTTTAGTTCCATTAGATAATAATAATAACAATAACGCACACACTCAACATAGCCCCGCACTAGGTAAACCCTGTGTCGCGGATGCCATGGACACACACATAGACAACCACAAATTACACCCAAACTCATGAGAGAAATAAATGTAGGTCATACAAATATTTCTCCCGGCCCGGGAATCGAACCTGGGACCTCTGCGTGGCAGTCCGGCATGGTAACCGTTCGGCCACGGAGGCAGTTAAATATAACCCACAGAAAAATATAACCCATATTCTCTCCAATTTTTTAAACTACAAGATTTGGAGAGGACGTGGGTTATATTTTTCTGTATCTAATGGAGCAATAAACGTTTTTGACGTAACTCCACTTACGCCATTCTTCCATGAGGGGTGCGATATATTATAATTACCTGCAATAACAATGTAAGTACTCCCCATCTCGTTTTTACGCCAAAGTCGTGACCTGGGGATCACCCACCTGGCTCCTCGCTGACCTGACTGACAGAAACCTACATTAAAATACCTACTCTGTATTCGTCGTTACATTCAAGGATCTTATCTTATTAATTTAAAGTGAAATGCCAAAGCTTATAACATAGCGAACGCCTGATTTCACTTTTCTTCTCCGTGGACCAACGTACTCATAGTTACAGCCACAAATTAATTGCTAAATTCATTGACTTACAAATAAATGGACGACGGGTCTAATACAAAAACCACGAAAAAAATGTCCCAAGTCAACCTATTTAAATGTAGTGACATGTAAAGGAATATGAAAAAGCTAAAACGTTGAATTTAAATTGTAATGTCATTGCAGTACTGTCTAATTTTGCTTGCTTCGCTGTCAGTCGAACAAACGAAGACTAAAGCGTGAATGACGGTCTGTATACGATTTTAACGCCCTATAAGTTCGGACACTTTTTAGCGCGGACCCGACGTCCATATAATTGTAAGTCAATGGCTAAATTACATTAAGAACAAGTAAGTGTATGCGTTATTATTTGTTCCTTTGAAAGTACTATTTTATTTTCTCGCTGCCGAGCTGGTAGCAGGCGAGTTTCATAAAAAACATCAAACGAGTGTTTGAATGCCTAATTATGTACAGTTACATTCACTGCTTTATCTACACACATATTATAAGATCTCTGTGATGTGTTCAGGAACCGCATGTTACTGGCGAAATGGCGGCAAATAAAAACTTTTCTCACGCATGTCACACAAACGTAGTTTCTTTTTCTATCACATCGTTCGATATCAAGTTACGGGTAAAATTTCATCTCAACTGATATTAGAATTGAGGTCGAATCAAATTGCTTACAGTTACAGCTTCTGGCACGGTAAGCTAGAAGACGTCGGTTCGAATCCGGCCGGATCGAAGGAATTTTTTCTGAGTGTTCGATCTTTGTATTAATAATTATAACAAACTAGTGGAATAATGTCACAAAAAAAAAATTATATCAATTCAATAAAAAATTAAAATACAGTGAATAGCGATATCTCTCGCCAGGGTTGGTAACTGTAAAGATATCTAACTGGGTGATAAAACCGTCATAGATTTCTCATAGATGGTGCTACGACTAAAAAGTCGTTGAAAAAACCAAATACAAAAGATACGAAACACGCACATAGAAAAATTCGTGAGGTCCGCTGGTTCGTTCCGTGGCTTAGTTGGTATAGCGTCTGGCACGGTATGCTAGTAGACGTCGGTTCGAATCCGACCGGATCGAAGGAATTTTTTCTGAGTGTTCGATCTTTGTATTAATAATTATCGAATTTGATGTTAATATTATGCAATAATAACATTTTCACAGAAAATAAATTTGTTCTAACAAAACTTATATTTATGCTGGCTGTAATTTGCGGTTTTTGAATACATCATAGAGGGTTTATGATATGTGTGTAGATAAAGAAGCCTTTTTTAAATTACCCGCATGCCTAATTACTAGGAGGCAAAGGCGCCTCTTATATTAATCCACTTTCGTTTTATTCCTTCGTTCAAGAATAAAAGACGTTTTGGTCGCTACGTCACCTTCTACAAAGCCTACATCGATTTTGGATCTATCAAGGACCTATTTAGATAACAAATCTTTGAAGCTCAGTCTTAGCACCTGTCGTTATAAGCTACGATATGAACAATTTGATTAGAAAAATTCCAAATACCTTCCATTACCTGTCCGTCTTTTTTTCTCATGTAAGTTTGTACAAGATTCTTCAAGTATGTATATTCATTTGTTGTTTTATACGTTGACTTCAAGATCGTATTAAGACCGCCCCCTTCTGTCGCATTCCTTGGAATATTTTTTTTTGGTTCAGGGTCCATCGAGATAGGCTTGAAATTTCTTATAATGGCCAATGGTTTAAGTGTAGTTTCATAAATTGAATTTACGATGCAATAATCCCCTTCAGCCATTTCCTCTATTGTGATCGGTTTTGGAGCGTTTGTTGTGATCGCAAGAGTTCTGAAAAATAAAAACAAAACCGTAAATATGTATTTTTTCTGGACTGGCTGAATTTATTATTACTTTATTATAAAAATACGTAAATTATAAATTGTACTAGAACTGGGCTATGGCGCTATGGTGTTTTGAACGACAGTCAGTATAGAACTTAGAAAATGAGGAGAGTTAAGATGGAGTGGCCCCTATAAAACAACAGGGAATCGTCGACCTTCATAGATGCTTTGAGAAATACGTATCTATTGGTGGTCCTTTAGTCGTTGCTTTGAACTATACCGGCATTTTTACTTCTGTGACAGAACCTTTCCGTGGTTTCTGTTCAGTGCTAAATTTCCACCTTTTACTAGTCTCAACATAGTTTTTAGTAGTTTAAAAAACTTCCGGGCAACTCGATTGAAATAGCTATAGCGTCTGTAACCTACTTGTGCAGTATAAGCAATTAAAAAAATATACTTACGGAGGTGGTTTTATTGGTGTCATACTATTAAAAAAATGTCGGTTAATATCATCCATTGCATCTTCCGAAGTAGAAGTAATGTCGTGTTTAGATACAACTTTCGCCATTTCATCAGAAATTTTACTCTTTTCGTATTGCAGTACGTCTAGTAGCAATTCCTCTTTCTTAATTCGTTCTTTTTCTTGGTTCTGTTTATTAATTACTATATCTATTTTTTCAGTTGCTTGTTCGATTATATCGTCCACACCTTCGTTGTCATAATCATCTATTATGAAAATTGTTGGGTAAAATGTGGTCGTCCTTTGTGATAGTACATCTTTGAGTTCATCGAATAGTATTTCTAAGTTGTTTTTTAATAAAGCTCTGCCTTTACGTTCAATTACGGGGTACATTTCAATTGTTGAATTGCTGATATAAGGATCTGTAGATATATGTTTATTTTGTCTACCAAGCCACCACTTCCGTAAAGAAGCAGTACCTGCTCGCAATTTCTGTAATATATTACATGTTTTTGCATTTGAAGCTTCAACATGTGGGTAAAATATTTTTCTCAATTTTGAATTCGTTATTTCTTCAGGAAAGGTTTCCATTTGTCTCTGTACATTCGGTGTGTATGGCAATGTAGACTGTATTTTAGGTTGATTATTTAAAAAGGATCTATTTTCACTGTAGGTAGTTATAGTAAATCCCTGTGATTTTGTCATAGACGTTTTCCTGAGGTCACTGCGTTTGGTTTTACTTATTGAAGTTAAGGGATGGACGGTTGTTAATTCAATATTGTTATTAAATGGGTGGTGCTCGTAGTTCATGAACTCGTGTGTCGGTGGTAACTTATCAAATAATGTATTCCCGTCGAATGTTAATAAATCAGGTTGTATTGCATTATCGCTTACATTGTAACTATGTACAAATCTCTTAGCGTTAATGTGTTTCTTTATGTTTATTGAAAATAAAGGTTTTGATTTGCCTTCATATTTGTAGTAGCCTTTATCGTTCTTAAAGTTAGTTACCAGCTGTACTTTAGGATCTTTTGTTACACTGGATACGTATTTATTTTTTTGTTCCGTTTTCAGTATTTTTTCTGAAGAAACATTACATTGAGTGATATTAGGAACAAGACTTAAATAATGACATGAGAATCCATGATGATTTGGCAGTTTATTTGGACTTTCAGCAAATGTTGCCGATTTACGTAAAAGTCTTTTGTCACCGTTTAATCTTATTGATTTACGACTCATATTCAAAAACTTTTTCAAGCCTTTGTATTTCTTTTTATATTTAACTTCATCGTCGACATAGTTAAACATACTTCCTGATATTGGATCAGTTACTATGTATCCAATTGAATTTTTATAATTCATGTCTGGTGGTCTGGTTAGACCAGCTGTAGTGTCAGGACGGCAAATAATATTGACATTAATATTGTCCAAAGTATATAACCCTCCGGTTGGATTTGTTGCGCTTTTTGCATATCTGTTCATTTTCTTGTCGTAAATACAATTTCTTACTCTCCTAATTAAATTTTCAAAATGCCCCTTAAGTGACTCATTGGCGCACATATTCAGTTTGGCAGCTGAGTTTAAGCTATAATCTAAAGATTCTAAATCATCGACTAAATGATTTTCTATATAGCCACTCTTATTGCCTGATTGGGAATTTGATTGTTTTTTTACATAAAATGATGTACAAGGTGTTCCTTGACAATAGCCTTTGGATCTTTTAAAGTAATTACTAAGGCTTACATCTAGTTTGTGAACAGCATCTTTGAGTTTCCTTCCACCAGCTGGATTCATATAAAAATATGTTTGGATTTCGGTGCAATGTCTGGTCATGTAGTTTAGTAAATTATCCATTTCAAATATCAATTCATTCATGACTGCATCAGATGCAGCGCATGCCTTGCACATCTTTTCATTTGGTTTACATTTACACTTACATACTCTGTCGTGCTGAAATGTTTTTTTTATTTTTGCCCAAATTTTATGACGATCACACCGCTTGGCTACATGTGCTGATATTTTTTGACCCTCTGCTTTATTTGTATCTCTACATTTAATGTTATGTTCCACAAAACTACTATTATTGGCCTTATTAACTTTATCGTAAAGTTTAATCAACTCTTCATTTAACGATACAATAAAGTCCTTACTCAAAGTCACTCTTCCCATATTTTTAACAGACGTCGTTTTCTCCATTTTTTGGGTTACACTTATACCTGGAGAATCAGAACTATTTCCCTGTTCATTTGACTGCCTTACAATTATGTTCTTTAAAGATTTAATTGGTATAATTGATCGTGGATTATTTGGATCCAATAGAAATAACACTCCAGCAGCAGGTTGTGTGCTTCTTATTAAGACATCGTATGGCACTAATGTTTGAGGTATAACATCTGTTGTAATACTGTTTTCTGGATTATCAATTTGGAAAGATTGCACTTTGTATTCCATATCTACTGGTGATGACATTTTGGCCACAAATACTCTTCTAATTTTAATGGGCTCATCAGCAGACCTTTTAAAATATCCCAGGTACGGTATATCTATATGAATTTGTATGGCATTAGTGTTGCTATTAGAATTACTTTTGAAAATTCCACTTTTGTTGTTGCTTAGGTAAGATGATGAAGTTGGTCGAACTGGTGCAAGGTATGGTGAGTGTTGCATTAAATCAACTATCACTTCTAATGCAGCAACATCTTTCGCTGTATATATGCCGTCTTGGGCATGTCTTTTGATCCGATGATTTATACCATGTGTAGTTTTCACCTGTTGCAATTTTGGTTTTAAAGTATCTTCAATTTCTTTCATTCTCACTTCGAGTGCCTTTCTTTGTTGTTGAAATACGTTCGCATAGTCTTCAATACTTAAGTTCTGTTTTGAAAAGTCTTGTAAATTTAATTGATTACTACTGTATTGTTTTTTAGTATCTTTATCATTGTTAAGTGTGTTAGTACTTGTGATTTCATTATTGACTGGCACCATTTTTACATTTTTCTGATTCTCTTTTTGTTTGCACTGGCAAATGCATTGTACGACATTATCACAGTTTTTGCACTGCAAACATTTGCCGCATTCCTGACATTTTTTACAACCTTGACAGTGGATCAATGTTTGCTCTTTTTCTGTTGTTGTTTCGAATATTTTTTTCAATAAATTTCCTACCTTAGTTACCGTGTCGGTTGGTGCTGGTGAAAGATCAGCCGCATTTTTCACATTGGGCTTGATTGTTGACTTAACACCTGGCGTGCATGGTTGCTTAGAACATGAGCATTTCACGGGTAATGATGTTGATGATGGTGGTGTTGAAAGTTGACAGGGTTGGTACGGTTTACAAGGGGGGCATGACTTACAGTGAGGGCATGGCTTACAGTGGGGACAGGGCTTGTAGAGGGGGTATGATTTGTCGGGGAGGCACGGCTTGCAAGGTGGGCTTTCGCTTGGCTTGGTTGTTAGTTTATGTAATTGGGGCATGAGTTCTTCCATGTCATGTTTCGGTTGTGGACATATTGTTTCATTACTTTCGCATTTTGGAGTAGCAGATTTAAATGTTTTCAAATCTAACTTTGGAGTTATGAGTTGAGTATTGGAAAGCTGAAGCTTTTGAGATTCCAGTTTTGGGGGTACAGTTGACGATCCCGATTTTGTTGAATCTAAACGTGAATAGTATACATGAAACGGTTTCAATGTTGGCGATTCAATTTTTACAGAGTCCGTTTCTAAAAATGCAGATTTTTGTTTAAAATTTCTACTTTTTTCAAGCTTCAAAAAGTTGTTCGCATTGATATTTTCAAAAGTCGTATTTCCAAACTCTGCTGTTGGTCCCAATGCCTTCGATTCCACACTGAGTAGCTGTAACAGACATTCCTGTTTATAAAGGTTTGTAAAAGTGACATGAAGGACATACCTTTTGGGTTTTACAATGTCGTACTCTTTGTCTAGTAAAGCCATCTGTTATCATACGTAAAAAAATACGAACTACATGAAACCTTTACATCGGAGCGTTCATATTAAGAGTTCGATTCATATTTTTTTAAGAAAAGACAATTTACAAATGCAGACAATGTCAAGCATGAAGCTTCATTCGCATCACCATGTTTCTTTTCAATTGGTCGAGTATTTATTTGACAATAATTGTCTCGGACAATAAACGAGAGTAAACCCCCAGTTCGGAATCCGAGAAATGACGGTGTACACTATATATATATTACGCTATGGTTTATTAAGCCTTACTCTGTACTTACTTCACGCTTTATTAAGTCTATATCTTCACGTTTGGTAGTATTCAGCAAACTCTGTATATCTAAATTTGTAGTGAAGGGACTGATGTTAAACGCAGTAAGAATTTCTCTTTTTTTGATTTGCTGTAAAATTTGAAAAAAATGTGTCTTAAAGACGAGTTATTTTGGGCCTGAAAAAAGGAACGGAGGAAGGTAAGCTGGGAAGGAATTGTGGGCTAGAGCGACATAAGAAAGAAAAATTCTTTCAATCCGGCTGGTCTTGAACCAGCGACTGTCGCCTCAAAGTGGTTACTGTTTTGCGCACAGAGCTAAGCATCGAGAAAGCAAATCTTACATTACTCTCCATCAAGGATCGTCATATGTTGATAACAAATATACAAAAGTATATCAAAATAAAAATTAGAATAAAATAGAAAATACTCAATATGGTTACAGTTTTAGGTTCATAAATTCATTTACAGAGTATAAAGGATTTTCAAAGAATAGGTCTATTAGCCGGCGCCTAAATGTTTCGACAGATGGTTCAAGTCTGAGAGTAGCGGGTAGACGCTCATAGCAAAAGGTTCGATGACACGCGGGTTTTTCTCTGCAAGTGCAACGCGTCTGAGGCTGTCCTCAAATGACCGGTACGGCGGAACAGGACGCCAGAACCATTAACAGTAGTAAATGAAGGAAGACTATTTCTACCGTACATTATATTATATTTATGAAAGTTTCTTTGTTTACCAGGTACCTTACAGCTATTAGAGAACTGCAAGAATTTTGTCGCTATACTAAATAGTAACAATGACATCTCTGTCACCTTTTTAATTGAATCGATCGAATCAAAATGATTCTAACAGCACTTGTGACCCGATAACCCGGGTTACTAGCTTCTATATAACCCTATTATTTTAGAGTTTCATGGGTCGTCCGTGCAATATTCGACTTTTATTCAACAATTCACAATATTATTGTCTCGTTCACTCTCACGTCAAGTCCCCAATCAAGACACGGTTCGCCTTCTCACTCTTCGTTTGGGTCGAACATTTGTTCGATAGAACATTCATTCGATAGAACCTTCGTTCGATCGAATTAAAAAGTCAAGCAACCGATCAACGAGTCAATGGGTTAACGGATCATCTATCAATCATTCATCCTAATTGGTCCGTGGCGTTTAATTTGTTTTTCGGTGCGTTGTGTTTATTTATAAGTGCACTAGCTAATATTAAAATATTAAAGAATAATGAATTAGTAATTTTGAACGCTCATAAGTTTTTTGTTATGTATTTTCGTTTTGTATGTGTTACTTTTCCTAGAAAGAAATTTTAGTGTCCTAAGCGTGGTCATCTATATATAATGATGCATTTAACTTTGTACACATTACTCATCAGCAGTAAAGAATAAAAGCTAATTGTATAATTTGACACTTTTAAACGCCATATGGAAATATCGTGAACTACGGGTGACCCGCTGAAAGATCGAACATATGACCAAACATTTGACCCGATCACTTTACGCTTGGCTCATAATCGACCCGGGTTATCAAAAATGATCAACCGACATAGGTCTACTTTGCATCAATAATAATAAAACTTAACGTAGCTGCCAGCACTTAGTCAAGAAAGTTTATTTTTTCAATGTAGACTTCTCCTGGTTGCCCCAGAAAATGTCCGTGATGGGAAACTTCGAAATAGGTATTAAAGTAAATTCTTACTTCTCCATATCTGTAAAATTTAGGTCTCACTTTCTGTTTGCCTTTCTTTACAGGAACTGGCGCTGTAGTGGCTATTGAAGCTGAAACAAAATCATATATTACCTCTACTGTCGTTCGATGTAGTGTGTGTTGACGGGGTGTATCATATAAATATTCTTAATTTAACGCTCATTAAGTAGAAACCAAATATGGGTGAATATCAACAATAGTAAATTGCACAACAAGTGCTTAAAACGCGGCATTTTACCCGAGACGACTATATTTAAGTCGAGGGTAAAATGGGTTTTATGAACGAGTTATACACTCTGCTTTTTCGAAGTGAAAAGCAGGAAATTAAACAGCAATATTACGAATAAACGATTATTTAATTAAATTGAAAATTACAACAATTAGACATATTTAATGCGATGGTTTTTTTATTTTATGCACTAGAGCATAAAATCCTATTTCATGCAGCCTACACCGTAAATAAATAAATAATAAATATAAATACCATAGGCACGTCAAGGGACAAAACCATAAATACGAACATTAAGAGCATGAGCAATGAAAATGAATTTTATTGTAAGTTTTAGTGGTGCAATTTTTTTTTTAGATTTTCCAGTACCCGAGACTCGTTTGCAGCAAATGAAACATTTCATTTATATATATGTCGTAGCCACTCATGTGTATGGACACTAAACGCAACGAACTGCATTTCCTGCGCTTCGACAGAGCCGTGATGATGTTGGCGGGTAAAACAGGGCTCAGTTCCCGATTGAGCCTCCGCCAAAGAATATATGGTTACATACCGTACCGCGCCACGCGCCGGTGCGCGGAACGCGGAATCACGCGCGCGGTGGCGGAGACGCAGATCTACGACTACGCACGGATTAATCTGCGCGGGGGCAGCGGTCTAACGGCCCCAGTACTCGGTTGGTCGCCGTAGTGATTGTACATGTAGCAGAGATCCTTCTTTGACAAGAATGGTAAATAATACAGAACTCATTCGGGACGCTGCAGTTACACTGTCTTTCATTTGATTTTTGTTTACTCAAATAAAAACACACCGAAGATATTGGATTGATCAATTTCAGATATTAGCAACTTAAAATTGTTGTTGCCCCCAAAACTTAGAAAAGCTACCAAAACGTTTATCGGTTTCACCTAAATTGAATATTGCCACCAAAGTTGGAATATATGTAAAAACAATAAGTTTAATTTAATTAAGTATTTTCATTTTTGAGTGTAATAAAATCACCTATGATAACGTCGCTTTTTACCTTATTATAATCAAGGTAGATTAAAAATAATAACGGGCACTCTAATAACGTGCACACTGGTAACCCCGCAGTAGGGAAACCTTGCATCGCGGGTGCCATAGACACACACATAGGTAACCACAAATTACATCAAACTCAAAATAAATAAATTTAATGTAGGCCATGCAAATGTATAACTAGTATTTTGGAGTTATTTCTTTGAAATAATTCAAATAAATAACACAAAAATACATGAAAAAGACAAAAATAAGCACCTTTAAACAATAACAATTACAGAAATGGCTAAACAGTTTCTATAAGTGAAACTTCTAATAAATTACAATAATTGGATCAGTCCTAACTTATAAATCATAATATATTCAAAATAAATTTGAGAAAATACAAAAAAATGGATAGAAAACATTACTAAGCAATTGTAAAAAAAAAACTTAATTTGATAACGGCGGCAAATAAAAACTTTTCTCACGCATGTCACGCAACCGAAGTTTTTATTTTTAATTCATAGACAAACTAGAATCGGCCCCAACTATCATATCGTTCGATATCAAGTAACGTGTGAAATTGTCAAAATTGTTTGCTATTGACGTTTCATTTCGAATAAAACTTCATCTCGACTGATATTAGAATTGAGGTCGAATCAAATTGTTTTGTTTTTCAGAGATGTGAAATTTGAATGTAACAATAACATCGAATTCGATGTTAGAAGCAGTAATAGCATTTTCACAGATAAGAAATTTGTTCTAACAAAACAGTTAGGCTGGTCGTTTTTGAACACATCATAGAGAG